CTGCTTGAAAATATTACAAATAATACATAAATTATGTATAGTGGTGAATGTACAAAGTAAGGCACCTCAAGGTACCTCCGAGGTACTCACTTTCTTCTGTGAGATCCTGTTCTGTATAAACACTGGCCTCTGTTTCCTCTTCTTCACCAGTTTTGGAATTATCTTCATCCTTGTCTTCAGGAGTTTCATCATCACCAGACTGCTTTTCATTCCCACTCCCGCCTAATTTCATTCCCTTGTTTTCTGGTTCTGATTCTGACTCTGATTCTGACAAAGGAATTTCATCTGTAGAATGACTGGCCATCTCTGATTTCTGTAAAAGACAAAGGATGGAGATAGAACATTGGATCAGTGGCATGTATCTGTTACAGGTCAAATTTGATTTAAGGTTACTTGTGATTTAACCTAGGTTGACTCTCAATTTCCTCTGCCTTCAAGGGCTAGGAGAATCAACCTAGTTTAAGTCAGAACTAACCTGAAATCAAATTTGACCGGTAACATATCCACCACCCTTTGTCAGCAATACTGTTAATATATTTGTTCATCAGTTTTGAGATTATGTTTCCCAGAAAAGAACTCATGATCAGTCCAAGACTCTTTATCGCAATCATATAGATACAAGCATGGGGATGTGCTAGTTAGAACACAGGAAATCTAGCAACAAGTCAGTCAAGAAACCACTCCTTCAATAGCAGCAAGGCATTAATGGCCTCTTGGTAGAAGGCGTTGTTTAATATTAGAAGGAAAATACCTTATAACGCAAAGGCAATGATGAAATATCATTACTTTAATACCTGCTTCTTAAGTTCATCTAACTTTTTTCTGAGCATAACTTGGTGAAATTCCCTCAACCTGGCTTTCGCCATAAATGCTTTTATTTGGTGCAACAGTGTTTCCCAGTAACCTAAAAAAGAAAGATTAATAAAATATTATACAAAATAAACTTTTAGCAAATTGTATGGTCACAATTGGCTTCAAACTTGCAGATATAAAACTAGAGGGATGTGAGGCCTATTTGCTGAAGTTGGGGAAAAATCTGGTGTAGGATTTCGAAGTTATTTACACTTTTCATAAAAATGCGTTTCTACATGTAACTATATGCCAATATCTCTAACATTTTTATACCTACAAGACTAGGGTATCTAAAAGATAGTAATGCTGCGGCACATTCTGTTGATACTGGCATTAGTTAGGCAGTTGGACTTAAAAGCATCGAAAATGACATTGAATGTCCTATTTACCTAGATTAATTACTATCAGTCTATAGAAAGAACTCGTGGGAACGTTGTTTAGAAAATGATCAAGTGGTTATCAACTCTGGTTTTCCCAAAGGAAATTGTAAAAAATGATACAAATTCAGATTGTTTATACATATCTTTAATATACAGTGTACTATCTTTTCTCTAGAGACACGATACTTTTCTTGCTGTTTATTGCACTTTATTAAGTAACAGTTATTTAGCTATATATTTATAGAAAACAACAACACAAAAAACGGAAAAAAAAAAGAAAGAAGGAAAAAAAGAGGTCGGTAGGACTGGAACCCAGCACCATCGGTTCGCCGCGAATACACCTAACCACTACACCACAGAGACTGATTACGTAACCTTGAGAAAAGTCTTTAATTTAAGGCCTTTTACATGAAACTTCCGCCGGCAAGATGATCACCAGCCGCATTAATCGAGCTATTAACAGTAAAAACACAATGTAAACGCATATTCCATGGTAATGAATGAATGAAAGAACATAATAAATGCTTTTCAAAACGCCGATACACGTCCTCGTCTGCAACGTAGGACATAAGACATATGTTTTGTTATCTCGATTTCGGCTGTTATTTTGAAGCGAATGGTCAAAATCACATCCATTTGCGGCTCATACAGGTTCTTAAGAATAACATGGCATGACATTTTCCCATCACCTTCTAGCAAGCTGGAATTTCTATCTGCCCCGTGTTGCGGAGTCGAAGAGCAAATGCTCATCTTCTCGTCAGGTTTAACACCTGGACGAGTCAAAGACTCTTGAATTGAAATCCAATCCCCAAGTTAATCATCCTACTCATCTGAAAGACTCCTGTGTGTCTTAAATTTGGTAAGACCTCTAACCGTGCTGTAGAAAATTTGCTACAAAGAAAACTCCGAGTCTAGCCAGCGAATGATGCGAACTTCCCCGTGTTTTTATTTGAGTTGTTCGTGGCGCAATGCACTCTGGTTAAATGCAATGCATTGTGGTAAAAAGTGATGAATTCGAGAATTCGTTGCCCCTTATATATTTCTCTTAAATCCTGATTATGTTGCTGCTCGCTCCCTGCGGTCGCTCCGCAGCAAAAATAAATAACATTTTTAAATTGTTGAAAAAACTATTTTTAAAAAAATTAGTACGAACCACTTCCAATGGGTTGGCACAACTAAAAATTACACTACAGTGTACAACATACAGTTACCACTATAATGTATACTGTATATAATGAGGACAATTTGCGTAATCAATAGTTACCTATATCTACTGCATCTCCACTCTTGATCTTCTGATTGATCTGTTTCTGCATTGCAATAAGCTGACTATGCGTTTTAGCATTTAAAATGCCTGCTATATCCTGATACACAGATGCATTTATACTCTCTCTACGGTCCATTTGGTCTGCAAAGCAAGTAGTAAACCTTGTAAAGACATTAACAATGTAATTTCGAATGCAAAAGGAAATTTCTACATACAAATGAGCAAAAAAACTGAATTAACAATTATTATTTCAAAACTTTCCATTAGTTTATTACGAGTTAATTTTTGTTCTTGTTAATTTATAATATTGTTACAGCTGTGAAAGTTATTGTTAAAATTACAATGTAGCGATTTTTCTTTACACGGCAGGATGTTGACTTTTAAAAAAACTTGCACAAAAGACAATCTTCAGTCCTTTACTTTTGTCACTAACAATATGTTATTATTTTAAACAAATAATTTTTACAGCTCACCACTGTATCTGGGGTCTTCCTTCTTCAGCTTTTGAAGTTCATCACTACAAACAGTTGTCATATCCTGCCAAAATATATCACGTACACTGTTATAAAAATTATTATTGTTATAACTTAGAGCGTATTCAGGCGTATTCCACCGTTTAACGGAAATCGGTCAGATTTTTCATAAATAAATATATTTTTGATAAAAAGACTTTCCAAGTTGAAACCTGGTAAATGGTTTAGTAATAAATAGGAGCGAATAAATTTGGAGAGTGTTTTGCAAGAGCTCTAGAGGAAGCGGAGCAAACTTTCACTAAATACTACTGGTTTGGACAATAATAATCCGCCATATGTTGGAACTGGCCAATATCCTGTCTGAACGACTCAGAAATCCAGGAAAGGGGACTTAAGCAAGTTAAAATCCAAAAAATTCCCCAGGGGAGCAGGAAATTCAGAATCAAAACCTAATTAACCTAAGAATGAATTTTACCTATTGCCACATACATATCTACCTTCCAAAATTCTGCATTCTTTCCTTCTTCTAACTCCATGTAGACTTTAATGTCAACAAGTAAGTCTTCCAGATCTTCTATTGTTAAACCCTATTGTATAGAAAATAACAATATGCACATAAGAAGCCATTTATATAGGTTATCTGGTTTTTTGTACTCGTATGCAACTAAAACAAAACATTATTTAATTTCTTCACTCACCACTAAAATTCTGTAAGGCTCATGCATTTGAATTTCCAGATCATTGTCATCTGAACTTACATACTGAGCAAGAAGATCAATGGGTTTGGCTAAAAATGAAAGTAACAAATATTATTTAAGATCACGTCATCATAATGGTTCCATTTCCCAAAGTAGGAAACAGGGTAGGGAATGTTTCCAGAATGCATAGTAGTTATACAGTGAGGGGTGATTGGACCAAACCAAACCCCCAACCGGGAGGACCAGGGGCTGTCCTGAGTCAAGCCATTTACCCTTGACCAAGCCATTATGGTTGGATCTTCCAGGGGCAAAACCTCTGCCAGCATTCACCACGGTAGGTGATGTTACACGGGACGATTTTCTATGACGATCTTTAATGTAACACAGTGTTGCAATGTTGGAACCATGTTTTAATCATTCGAAACAACGTTGCAACAATGTGTTCCACTAAAGTCGTCACTGTGAAGAAAATAGTATGAGAAGAAAACTGGGTTGAGTTAACTTTTGCAAAGACTTCAGGGACTGTTACTAGGGACAGGAAAAAATTGGCCAATAGCTGACCAGCGCGTCCCCAGTAGTGATCAGTAGAAACACTGCAGGACACATTTCAGCTCCAATTCCCTTCATGTTTCTAAAGTGGCGAACTGCAATTCCTCTCTTCCCCTTTGCCACCATATCACAAGTTGACAAGCCCAGGGTGAGAAAAATGCAAAGCTATCATAAAACCTATCCACTGGAACTTCACCAGAATAGTGTGTAAGTTGGTTAATGAAGGGAAAATGCTGTTGTTAATTTAAAACAAGCCAACACCACCTACCTCTGCCATCCTGGATGCGAATTTTTGAGCGCAGCTTTGCTTGCTCTAAGTGAAACTAAAGAAAAGGAAATAACTTCACTAAAACCAAAGGAATTTAAATAAATTAATACAGTACTTCCAGGAGAGGTGGCAAAATTCTGATATCCTATGCATAATTCATCATAACCAGCCATTATTAACCAAATTTGGAAGAAGTTTGCAATATGTGATAAATGATGTCAAAAGAGCTGCAAATTGCCAGATTATTGTACCGTTAACCAACAAGACCTTGAATTGTTTTGGTAGTGAGTAAGAAAATGGCGGAACATTTCACTTATTTCACAAGAATAAATAGGCAAACTATTTGCTAAAACATAGCAAGAACAGCAAGAAGACAACTTGATGGACAACACCTGCTATTTCAAGAATATTTGCGGAGCTGAACAACCCTTTATCTCGTAAATTTGCCAATTAACATGCACTATCAAGATGAACTTAACATCACTCATTTCACGAGGGATAAATAAGCAAACTATTTGCTAAAACATAGCAAGAACAGCAAAGAGACAACTCAAAAGACAGCATCTGCTATTTGGAGAATATTTGCGGAGCTGAACAACCCTTTATCTCCCAAATTTGCCGATGAACATACAATATCGAGGATGAACTTACCATCGATGGAGGTCAGCATGATTTAGCTTGTTTTTAAACAAGGAATTATTTTGAATGAAAAATAAAACAATTATTATTATTGAATTTGGCTATTGTATCATCTGAAGAATTACACTGTATGGAGATGGAGGAGGTTGTCATCAGACGAGGCCGTAGGCCGAGGCGGATGACACCCTCCTTGATCTCCATCATTCTTCAGATGATACTCAGCCTCATTCAATAATTGTTCTTTATCAGTCAGTGGCATTCATATCCAATATTGCATAGCATAATATTGTACATTTTTTCCACTTGTTGGAGATAACTGGAACCACAGCCTGATGAAGACCTGCAGTACACTGTATATGCTCGAAACATAATACATGTAATAACTAAGTGACTTAGTGAGGAGGATGAGACAAATGATAAAAGGACCCTATAAAATTATACATGTTAAGGCGAAAATTAAATTCAGGTTAAATTTTTTAACCTAGGTTGATTCTCAATTTCCCTTGTCTCCTAGCCCTGATTCATGAATAATTAGGGCGAGAAGACAAGAAAAAAGAGAAAATCAACCCACATGTAGGTTAAAAAATTTTAACCTGAATTTAATTTTGACCTGTAACATACACATGCCATGACGAATAATATCTTTCATTACATTGCATTGGCAGATTTATTTCCAGCAAAATTATTTAGTTTTTAAAAATAATAATAATAATAATTATAGACTTTGTATTATTAACATATCGAAGGTTCTCTTTAAATTTAGTAAAAATTTATTATATTAAATGAAATTGTACCTTATCTTCTTGTTCTTCCCATTCTTTGAATGAGTTAGCTTCTTTTTCTCTTTGCATGGTTTCCTAACAGGAATTTAGAAGGAGCAAGTGTTTGAGCAAAATTAATAAATAACAGTTGAAAGCAATCACCTATCTCACAAAAATAACAGTATATCTCAGAAAAAAAGATGGTTTTAATTTCCACCAAAATTTCACTCAACAGATGGATGGATAAAGTGTATTTACACCAAATAACTTTACTGCAGCTCAAAAAATGGATTGCCCTTTTTGTGTGTTCACAATGGTACACATAATTACATATACAATGTAAACCACCGTACAAAAACAGTGAAAAAAAAAACGATGAGGTGATATTACTAGTGAGGGTAAAGATAAGCTTGAAGTAATCTTATTACTAGAGACCTTAAGATACCCCGATATCGGTGTACGGGTACGGGTAGTGTACCCGTACACGTAAAATGTTCATGTGCGTGACTATTTCGATTAAGATACCCGAAGAATTAAAAGAACAAGCACGCAAAATTAACTTGTACATGCATGTCGCTTAATGCATACAAAATCTCCCTCACATTCTACACTTCATATCTTAACAACAAGCTGTAACAAATAATTCATTCATAAATAAGCTTATTGAAATATCATAGAAAGATTTTAAGAAACTTGGCGGGAAGTCCCTCGACCGAAAGCTTGTTATCACAAACCCCCCCATTTGATCGAGGCACATCACCAAACAATTCCTTTGATTGTCAACTTCAACAGTGACTCCCATGCTTAATTTTTCAATGCTATTTCTTTTGCGAAACTCAAACGTTCGAGCAATTCTCAGAAATCCCCCTAAATACCGCCACAAATTGATATCGTTTCAGAGTTCAACCTGCGCATTTGAGGTCCAAAATCAATACATTTTGAAGGGCTTTCTTTACAGCTAAAATTCAAATTTGGCAAAAATATTTGAACAGACTTGCAATAAAATTGCCAAGGAGTCATACAATTTACATTTGTACTTAAAAAGTCTTTAAAACTTACTTGTTTCTCCATCACAGGGTCCGAAATTAACTTTTTAATGTGGGCGCCAACTGGCGATCAAGTATAAATTTTTGGTCGCCAGAGGGCAAATTGTGGTCGCCAAAAATTTCCCCTCCCTTTTTTTTCACATAAAAGTTACAACACGAATAAAAAATGCATGGTATGGACGTTTTTATGCTCAAAAATTGCACTTCTTCCGCTCCCGATACTAGAAAACAACCGTACGTGTACGAGTGAAGTCTTATGTTTTCCACAAATTACTTTTTGGAGATATAAAGCTATCTGACCTAGAACGTAGGAACAGAAAGCTGTCTGCCCATGACTGCACTGATCATATCAAAACTCTATTTTCTTCCCATAACTACCACGAAACACAAAACGTAAAGACGAGTCAAGCCACCATGTTGCTCGTACCAGGCCACAACTGTGCCACGTATTTCAGCTATGGAAAACAACATGACGGCTTGGAAACGTTCAACTCGTATTGATCGTAGCTGTTGTGGAGGTATGATTACAGGAAGATTCGTTTCACTTGAAAAATATCAGCAAGACAAAAGTAAGACACCTGTTGGCAAATAGCTTCGAAGTTTCTCCGAACCTTAAAGTCCACAATAACAACTAACTTTACAAGTCGCTAGCTGGCGACCAGCTATGAAATTCTGGTCGCCAGGACTGAATTTTTAGTCGCATTGGCGACCAGGAAGGCGCAATTTCGGACCCTGCATCATGTAGGACTTGCAGCTACTCGTAAATCTTGTACGGGTAAACTGGTGTCTACCCTGGAAAAACGGCTGGTTCTACCGGGTAAGGTCGATGACGTCACCACAAATTGAAAAAAACATGGCGCTACCCGTTACCCATACACCGATTTCGGGGTATCTTAAGGTCTCTACTATTTTTCATAAACTTCATTTATTTACCCTCTCTTGTTCTCTCATTTGCTTCTCATGTTCCCTTTCCTAAAACCAAAAAAAGACATAGAGATTATAACCTTTAGCTCTCCAGAAGTTGGATATCACATTAATAATAAAGACCAGTAACTATTATTTCTCTTCGTCCAGTACTCATTACATGAAGTTTAAGTTACTTCTCAATAATTATTCTTCTATTCAAATTTACATGTAACTTTTGCAACCACCCTTTATCATGTAGTGTAACTCCAAAAAAGCTGATCAGAATGGTAATGTTTCACTTTAGAAAGCTATAGATACTTACCACTCTTCTTCTTTTAACTTTCTCTAGTTCTCTCTGTCCAGAAGAAATAAACACTAAATTAGGTAGCGATTTCATGCCAGAAACCTGAACCTTTACGCCCGTACAATAAAAGGCCCAAAGCATAATACACAGAAAAATGACTTAGTTTAAAGTCTTTAAATACTGAAATTTGGGCACAGCATACGAGTTTCAATGAAAATTGAAGTAACAAGCAGTTTTGAATAGGGTAACTGACTGTATCAACAAGGGGCTGTTAGTCCCCTCTTTCTTGGGGGGAGGGGGTCTGGGGGTATGCTTCCCCAGAAAATTTTTACAAATTCAAAGCCCTCAAATGCGATTTTCAGCATTCTGGGACAAAACTTAGGACAAAAGAGCATGTTTTTCATTCAAGAAAATGTAGCTTTCATTCAACTTTTGATTTATCAGTAATGCAATCAATTCCTACAAACAATGAACAAATGATGACAACTAAATTACATACTTTTGCACTCAAAGACATTCTGCGCACAACAGTGAAAAATTGACTGAAATGTATAGCATTTGCATAAGTAAAGCTTAACGGAAAACCAGTGGGCCTTTGTGAAAGCACATCATAATTACATTTTCATTCAGATTTTATGATATATTTTTTGCTTACAATGTTATTCAACCTTCTTTCTGGAAAAAAGTAGCTGACTTCCATTAGCAAAGTAGCCAATGTGTTTTGAAGGCCATTGGTCCTTAAAACCGCTGACAGCCCAAGAGAAATTTAAGTCAAACAAGGCAAGAGTAATAAATTGGGACCCAATTGATAAGAAAATAAATTAGTTCCTGGCAGCACACACAGGTTTGGGTAGATTTTAGGATCTCTTGGAAATTGGTAGCACTATAAAAATTGGTTTCATTTGGTAAAACATGAAATTGATACAAATAAACAAGAGAAGAAAGAACACTGAATGATTATTATTACACTGCAATAAAAAACAGCTTTATTAAATCTACTGTGGTTACTTTTGCTTCTTGTTGTCTTTGCTTTTGTCTTCTCCGTATTTCCTCTTCTTTTAAGTGTTGTTCACCATCTTTTTCTCTTTTCTGTAAGTGATCATAAACACTAATAAGTACATGTTACTGCTCAAAATGATTTCAGGTTAATTTTGATTTAACCTACACTGTAGGTTGATTCTCAAATTCTTTTGTCTCCTAGCCCTAGAAGACAAAGAAAATTGAGAATCAACCCAACCTTTTGAGTCCTGCACAACTGATTCTGGTTGTAGAAGTGTAAGAGTGAGGCCACTACTGCATGTACATGTATGTTAACAGTATCTACTACAAATGTCTACTAGCTAGCTAAAGTGTAAGAGAGCTCTGACAGTATCAAAATGACAATCTGCGAATGCGTGTAAGGGAGTTACCTTTTGCCAAACAAAATTTTCCAGCAAATGGGCATCACCAAATGGATTATCTGTGTTAGTGTATCCCTGCAAGAAGAAGGAAATAATCAACATAATTATATACAGTAGGTGTACATGTACAACCTATATGTACATCGAGGTTAAAAATTTTTAACCTGAATTTTATTTTGACCTGTAACATGCACAATGTACTGCGTTGGTGCCTACAAAGTCGGTGGAGCCGGGCAATGCTCTAGCATGAGGGGGAAGGTATCCATGGCAACCCTGTGAGCGGCCCCCACAAAGCACCATCACACTGAACAATTCAGTGGAATACTTACCGACCAATACTTACCTAGCCCTTACCTCAAGAGGGAGCAAGGGATGGGAAAAACCAAAGCACAAAAAGGCACGCAAACAGCAAGCTATTGCAACAACACTCTGCGAAGAATTGCAAGCAAGCAACTGCGTATATTTATAAGTCACGAGGTGCCACTTCTAGAGGCATTGGGCCACCCCCAGTATAGCTGGAAAGACTGCTGACCAGGATTGCTTTGAGGTTAACTTTGCCTAAATTACATTTAGCGGCATTTAATATTCTAAACGTTACAGGTAATATTATTACTATCCACATTGCAACTTACCAGATATTCATCATCCCATCCCATCTCTTTCCTTTTCTTTCTCTCCTTTGCTTCCTGAGATGAAAAGGAAAGGTAAAATAAAATTGTTGTTTTAGGACAGTTTACTACCTAACATTGTGGGACATCATTACTAGTCATGCTGTACTTTGACGAGCCACAGGGCTAGTCAAAATAAAAGAGATTAATCAGCTAGCGCGTCATTGAAACGCCCACAAAACTGGAACATCCAAACAAACCCCCAAACAACCCATGGCAAATCTTAATGCACCCTAATGTGTAAGTATTATTCATGAACACTCATGTAGAACACCATACCTGTAAACACCAGGGCCCAGTTGTTCGAAAAGTGGATAACGCTATCCACTGAATTTTTCTCTATCCAGTGGATAACGTACAGGGTTGTTAAAAGTAGCCTGCTGCCGGCAGAAATCGCCGCTTACTTGGTTAGTATTGGCCAGTTACTCTACTTAGCATTTCTTTACAGATAGCTTCTTATAAATAAAATATACCCTGGACTGGCCGCTTACTTTGACAACTCAGCCGTCTACAGTGTACTTCAAAACTTTCTGACAATCCTGAATGCAATTGATTTCCTAATACTTATCTACTGGATAGCGATTTATCCAGTGGATAGCGCTATCCAAGGTTTGAACAACCAGAGCCTGAAGATAAATCCAAACTTGAAATGGGGGTACAAAGTGGTCTAAACAAGACACAGGAAGACAGGTGAATGTTTCTCCCTTGGAAGCCAGAAGTTGAATTGTGGAGTAAACAGAGAGCTGTGATTGACATCAGTACATAAAAGCAGGGATATAGCTTAAATTTATAACAGATGGGAAATAGCATTTGATGTGCCAGTCATATGAGAAGAAAACGGTTACTTTCTTAAAGACTGCAATGTTTTTCAGCCGGAAAAATCACATTGACAGCTGGGTACTTTTCCTGGCTCCCTGTTATTATCAACATCCCTTTGAAAGCACACTTGTCTCTGCTCCAGTCGATGTATGACCTAACGTTATCCACCCAGACCATGACACCAGGCTCTAAGTTCCCTATATTCTTTTAAAATACATGTGATGTCATGATTTCTTTTACACAACCTCTAAATGATATCTAAGCATGAAAGAAAAAACACAAGAACGTTCCTTCATCAAAAAATTAAATAAAGAATATTGTCTGGTCTTTTAGCACATAAATCAGGAAAATTAACAGGAGTCTGGTTTTCCTAACTTGGCATTTTGTAGATATATATTCTCTGTGGCTAAGTTAATTTTAATACCTTTTTCGCGAGTCTTCTGGCACGTTTTTCTTCAGGGGTTTCTATTGCTTTTAGCAGCTCTTTCTCTTTCCTGCAAGGCAAATGAACATCATTATCAGCTGTGTGCTCATATCAAATTGAATTACAGCACTGACACACATATGTAAAATGAGTGCATAATAAAATTGCAAAAGTACATCGCTCTGTGAAAGACTTGAGCAAAGCTGGAATTCGATGGTCTGTAACAATGTATGCCAACCCAGAAAGTGAAGATTACACCATATCATGCTTGGTTATTCCCCGAGGCATCAGGAATGAAATGAGAATCTCAGAACCAACTAATCAGAGAGGACATTTTCTTGAAAATTCTCACCTGGACCAAGCCAAAAGCCACAAATTTACGGACCTGAATACTACATTTATGTAAGGCTAGCATGCATTTTTCATTCCTTTTATCCACCACTAAGCCACAAAATGTCAACATAATAGAGGGCTTAACTGCAGAATACCCTGCCACTTATTTGCATGTCATTGAATAAGAATAGCATCTATTGTGTTATGCTTCGTTCTTCAAAGAACGCCGACCAACGAAAACAATGGTGGTACAGAGTGGCGGGGTATTCAGCAGTTCCTAATAGAGACCGCAGGTTTTCATTCATTTATTGGTTTATTCAGATTTACAATTACATTTTCTCGCTGCCCACAAATAGCAAAGGCTAGTCTAGGTGGGCAGTGTCTATATATAACAAAATATGCACTCCAAATGGTATTAAATTGACAAGTCAACAAAAGTCAGGTCTCAACTCATATCTCATTTCTTGTTCTTTTCAGGCAACATGCCTGCCATGAAATCAGCTGTAAACCAGCAGTGCTGTATCTGCCTGTTAAGCAAATGCAGTAAGAACGAGTCTAGGTTTGAAATCAAGACTACAGTGCTCTCTGACACTCTTCCGTATAATCTGGTGCATTACCCCATCCAAACGAGCTATTCTATTTCTGAGGTTTTACCTATAAGCTTGACGCAAACACAATTTCCTTTCGCTACCTAAGTCTAATATAAGCTTAATTTACTTGTAAAGCTCATCTTGGATCGGACAAACATGTCTGCCACGTACAAGAGCGCATTCGAAGTAAATAATAAATAATTATACACCATTCGTAAACAGAAAATTTACTTGCCTAAACCATAATAATTGCACATCTCTTACCTTTTCAATTCCTTGTCGTTATTATCAGGAATACTTTTCTTCTCTTTAGATGACTTTGATTTGGAGGCAACAGGGGAAGACGGTCGATCATGTTTACGTCGAGGAGAGCGGGAACGTGACCGACTTCTTCTCTTTCGACTCGGAGAACGCGACCTACTTCTGCTACGATGCCTATGCTTCTCTCTATCCCTTTCACGCATCCTTTTGTTTCTAAACGGTAAAAAACTACATCTCTTTTGGATAGAAATGAAAGCTGTAAAACGAGATGTAAAACGTAAACGCGACGTGAGTGAGATCTGTCAGCGGTTGTCTAACATAGCATATGCGTGTAGTTCTTCAAAATGGCGGCCGCCGTGAATGTTTTGCGATCAAGAAGTGCGATCTTTTCAGGTGATTTCTACCGTGTCTTTGAGAAAATAAGTCAGTAATTGAGGTTTATTGATGCAATTCACTGATGTATAGGTAGTTTAAACATTCATTGGCTATTGATCATCTTCCTGACATTTTGTAGCCCGTGATGAGACCTGGGCTAGAGTGGTTGCCGGATTTGAAGCCCTGTCACCCTTGCAGAACTGTAGTAAGGGTGATGATAGACAACAGAGATGCTAACCTCTGGAGATCTAAAATATGGGCTCTGTCTCCCAACATTAACCATGTACCCCTTCCTACCTCCCCCTCAGGACATTCCATTTTTTATCCGCATTCCCCTCCCCCCTTCCCCCCCCCCCCCCACTATGGAAGGCATAATTTAATAATGTCTAGAATCAAGATCTGGGGGAACCCTGCCCTCCATACTGTGTGGTGAGATAAGGGATCTGTAGCAATCATAAGTTAAGAGATAAGGGCCTGTCGGAATCATGCCTTTCATTGAGGGGGGAGGGGGTGCAGATAAAAAATGCAATGTCCCCTAAGACACAGTCCCCCACATGGATGTGGCTTAGGACATTAATTGATACAAAGTCTTACATTTGTAGAGACCACCAAAATTTGCTTTGTTTGTCAAAAAGTCTTTACAGGGCGTGTGATAAAATACATGGAAATCTGCCACTGAAATGTTAGTACATGTGTCAGATGGCCAAACATGGTCAAGGTGCAGGCAAGTCATCTTGTAACTACATGCAAGCAATGGCCCTGAGAAACTTAAGTGTGACAACTGCTTTGCTTTAATTGGAATTCAAGGTTTTTAAAGTCCTATCACCTTTTACGGTGTAGGTGCTTTTGGAACAAGGGTATTTGAGGTGTGCGGGGGTGAAGAGCAATCATTTGTGCAAGCCATCAGTAATGGGATGTTGCAATATAATACTACACTCCCATATCCTTTCAACATCTCCTAACCCATTTTATTTCCAAACATCTGTGAACAAAAGTCCCATGTATTATCATTTAAGTAATGTTTCATTTTTTTGGTGCTTAATTTCATTTTGTATTGAGCATAATTTTCAATTTCTAGTCTCAAAATGAAATTTAATTTATAAACAGTAAAAAAAGGCATCATTTTATGTATAATTTATAATAATATACCTTTTGCAGTTACTCATATGATTGAAAATGGATACATGTATTGGTTTCCTACAAGACAAAAACTCATGATGGTAAGAATTACTTTTTAATAAAGATACCAGCTAGGTTAGAGGGTTTTCTAGCTAGTATTAGGACTATTTAAAAGGTCTCCTGTAGAGTGGTCCCACCAAAAAAAATTAACTTGTTGAAATCCTATTATCTTTGCAGGCTGATAATGGAAAAAAAAAAAACGTTTGCCTCTTCCAAAAACTGTGTAGCCTTAACTGGTTTCCTACCAAACATATACACTATATAGTCCCTTCAATGAAGTGATTATGGCCAGTGTTCTGAAAGAAATGTTTCCCTAAAATTTGTTCCTGGTAATTGACAATATAAGACTGCTTTACATGTTATACTTCTCAAAGTTGTCTTTTGGAGGTATCCACAGATATCGGGACTGTTAACAGGGGAGTGTATATTTTTGCATTTTCACTCATCCTTAAGATGTGATCAGAAAGCTGACATTTTTTTTTTTACATTCACACAATCAGTAAAACAGTTACATGTGCACTTCACTATCTTTTCCTTCACCATAGAAAGAGTTGTTCAGATGCATTAGCAATTCCAGGTCTGCTAATAAAACAGATGATGAGCAAAACTTAACAGATGTCCACACAAATGCTGAACCAGAGGTTGATCTCGGAGAACTTGACCCAGTGAGTATATCATGGAATTTGACATTACTACAAGTTTAAGTTATTGCTTTGATTTAGGCTATGTTACAAATACCTGTTTACAGTGGGACTTTATACAATATCAACTATGTTGTAATGTTTTGTTGTTGCTATTGTTTTTGTTTTTACCAGGCCCTTCACACAGTGTCCAATGTTGGTCAATTCTACACGGTCCCTAAGGAAATTTCAAAGAAAGTTCTTTCTCCTTTCCTGACTAAGAAGTTTAAGTCACAGGTACAGTACTTACAAGTGAATGGTAACCATGACAACTCCGTTGGCAGTGACTAAGACTACCTGGAACCGTTGCTTGAAAAATTTAGAGCATAAAGAATAAAATAACACATGATGGGTTAACCCTTTAGCTCCCAAGAGTGACCAACATCAATTTTCTCCTAAATTTTATCAATATGTAATCAACAGAAAAGCATATATGCCAACTCTCCCGGATACAGCACCAATCTCCCGAACAAAATTGACTTTAAGTTTTGAGTATTTCTGTGCTTTAGTTTGAAATTTAGCCCCTTTTCTCCAAAATAGTATGGTTTCAAAGGCGTTTTGCATGTATTAGTCACTGACTGTATTCATGTAAGGCTTCGTATAATGTCCTAAGCCATTCCCATGACTGTCATAATTTAAGGGCTGGATAAATTTCTCGGGTGGAGTGGGTAGGGGGGGGGTCTGAGGTGAGGATTTGTTGACATTCAGGGGGGATAGTGCAAGACGTAGAGTCTCCAGTTTTTAGACCTCAGGAGGTTGGCATCTGTGGAAAAGGTCTTGAGAATTAATAAACTGATCACCAAGTGGAAATGCTTTGATCTTTTAACAAACTCTATCAACTAATTTTTAAGAAAATATATAGAGAACAGTCGGGAGAATATCTATGTAGATATTGGAGATTAAAGGGTTAAGATACCAAATTCTTATCGAGCGGGTGAGATGCGCAGAGAGCAATGTAATAGTGTGGAAGACGTTGTCCACATGTAGTAAGACAAGCCAAGTGGCATGTAATCTAAAAAGGATAACTGTTAACTACAGAGGCTGTATTCAGTGAGGATTTAACTTAATGCAAACCCAGTAAACACTATTTCTTTCTCTCCCTGTATCAGTGTGACATGATGGGAAGCACAAGTTTAATGATACGAAAGCCTGCCCTGGAGGTTCTACATCACCTGAAAGCAATTTCACAAGACACACATCCACCACCTAAATTTATTTTCTGTATCCTTTATTCCAACCTCCATCTACACCATAAATATGCTTCCCTTTCATTCTTGCAGTATGCACCTTGTTGTCACAGCCTTGCCACTCAACTTCTTAGTTTAACTCAATTTTTACCTAAGAATAAGCCTGCAACACTCTAGTGTTCTTTTAAAAGTTTAGCTTGTTTTCCCACTTTTGTCTCTCTTGATTCACTTATCCCATTTTACAGTCAACTCTTGTTATTGCAGACACCCCTCAGCTTGGAACCATGAGTTACATGTACTATGCCTAAAAGTGAATGTCCAAAATAGCAAGAGTTTATTTCTGTCAAGCTTGTAATTAATTTTTGCTGATGGCTTTATTGCGGTCAGTATTATTGAAGAGTCTGTAATAGCAAAATGCCCAAGAGTTGACTGTAATGAGAATGCCAGACTCAGTGAACCCAGTATTTCATGGTTATTTTAAAAGATAAGTGGTGACTTTAGTCTTAATGTAGGCATCAGCACCACTCGTTCTTTTCACCTCTTAATCAAAATGCAACTTTTCACCCATGTTCATATCATCATCATCATCATCATTAATTATCAATTCAAATTCAGTGACCTAAATTCCAACAAAAGTATTTGAGTCATGGTGAAGAATACTTGAAACTTTTTTTTCTTAAATCAACTGTGTTTTTGATGAAAATGCTTCTTTCCTTCTCCTCTCTAATTTGCTCTCACGTTTGCATCACTGGTGCCTAGGCAATCAACAGGGGATGAGTGTGACGGGCTTTTTGTCTCTCCATATATATACAGCTGATGCAATACATGTAAAGGTTGTTTTGGGCATTGGGAATTGCACTCCAGGAAGCTATGTTTGGTGGTCACTCAACCAAATCATTGCAGTGACTTCCTTATGCCCAAATGCCCAATGTACATGTACAATTATTGCCAATGCCCAAAGCAACCTTTAATGAATAATCTATATACATGTATCCCAAACTGCACTTTCAATTTGCTGGTTTGTGTGAGTTTGGCTAACATTATAGGAAAAATCTAGGAGAAGCAAGTGTTCTGTGGTTGGTTGGTTTTCGTAGAATTCTTAACATGACTTGATAACAGATGGCATGGATGGATGTGGTAAATCTTCATCCCTTGCTCACGTTATTCACTATTGTTATTCTGCTGGCTGGTTTATTCTTCCTGTACCCAGCGGTAAGTTTTAACCACAGTAATAATGTGATGCCTCCCACCACCAGCGGGAAACAGGGAGTCCAACTTCCTGCCTCCCATACATTGTATTCACTATTGTTATTCTGCTGGCTGGTTTATTCTTCCTGTTCCCAGTGGTACATTTTAGCTAACAATGTGATACCCTTGGGTAGGAGACAGGGGAGTCCAAACCTCCTGCTTCCTGTACTGTGCATTCCCTTCTGCTACCCCCTTTTATCTTTTTCATTTTCTTTTCCTTTTTTGATTGCAAAATACTAAGCATTGTTGGGACCAATTCAGGGAAAACTTTCCACCTACCACTCCCCTAAGCCAACATTATCACTTACTTCTCACTGAGGGCAAAATGTTGGCTTAGGGGAGGGGTAGGTGGGCAGTTTCGCAGAAACCTTAATTGATCCCATTGTTGCATAACTTCCCCCTATTTACCCCGCTTTGCACCCATTTAGAACTCCCTCCTCAGTCCCACTCTATTCTTAACCCTAAGAGACCACCAGTTGTTTGAAGCATTGCTACTTCTATATTTGTAAACAAGTAATGTTTTGTCGCTTTTTATTGTGATTTCATGGCAGTATTTAGCTGGGTACATGGAAAATCCGAGTTGCAGATGTCAACGTTTCATGCGGGAAGATTTGACCAACCACAACAGGCTTCTACCTGGCTTCAAATATGTCGGACGATCAACAGCAAGATTTTCTCAGAGGTGAATTAAAACTGAGTAACAGTACGTATACAACGAAACAATCTTAAGTAATATGTAGCGAACACTAAGCGAACTCGACAAATAGCCAAACCGGCTGTTACCGTGTCCATACTTGGATGTCTTTGTGAGTTACGCAACTATCATTATTTTTTCAGCTGAAGACAAGCCAGAAATACCACTTTGGTAGGCGAGACTCAACTGAAGCTGGAGATCCATTAGCAAGAGTAATAGATCTGGTAAAGAACAGATGCTTGTTATCCCCCCCCCCCTAATTACGATAGCGCGGGATCAGTTTCTAGAAATACAACGCTCATATTAATTTGACCCCATAAAGTGGCTTTAGTTTGGTCACTGCACGACGGTTCAAGCACTGCCTGATTTCCATATCACGATTGTTGTAGTCGTTGTAATCACTCGAGGATCTCTGCTATTAAACTGGAAACAGCTCTTCAGTAATCGTGGCGAAAATAATTGCTGATAGTAGACTAAGGTCCATTTACTGTCTTTGACAGAATCATCAATCCCAGGACCGGCCATTGTTCTTACTGAGTCGTTGCTTTGGGTTTTAATTACTGCTGGACCCGCTCGCAGGAATTTTTTTTCAGACAAGTTTCCCTTGCCGAATTTTTTGTTCTGGAATTGTCACCCCACCTTCGGTTATTTCTAACGGTCCACCCCTAAGAACACAAGACAATGACCCGGCATGGCCTGAACTTGGACTTCTTGATGCGCAGTCCAAAGCACTAAATCTGGGCTACCTATCTTTTTCACAAACATCTTTGAAACATTGTCCACATCTGAATCGGCTCCTTATTTCTATTCCATGTAGGGTCTTCAGAGAGGTAATTACGCGACAGATGCTGTTGGAGTCTTACTCAAGGAAATAAAAAATAACACCAGGTACTGTGGAACTTGGACCGCATTATCTCCACGCTCTTTTCTACTTAGGTAGGGTGGGAAATCGAATCAGCCGACTGGCCCTTCAGTTTGATTTTCGTCGGATTCTTTGGCTGTAATCGCGGCCATTCTCTTGGCGTTTGATGCCGTTGGGTTGCACTGTTACCTCCCGAACACGATACTGAAGAGAGATTGTTCGATCCGAGTCCGGAACGAAATTTTAAACTTGTATGAAACAATTCAAATCTTGCCATATATCCACCTGCTTCCAACTTGGGATATATTCCGGGCAATTTTTTGCATTGAAACACTGTTCCCCGGGGCCTTTAAAACCCTTTTTTGTTTTCCTGTCTTGTTGATTTTATCTGAAATCTGTTTGTTTATTTGTTATTTATTTGTTTTTGCAGTTTACGAGTGCTTTTTGCTGTCAACGAGTTTAATGGATTTTTCCTGAAAACTTCCTTCATGGATGCTAAGCAAAAATATGTATGCCTTCACTTAGCAGTTTTTATTATCTAATCATTTCTTTTTTCAATGAATTCTAACCTCCTTCTTTTCTCGTGCTGACACCCGCTTCTACCCGCCTTGCTATTGTTTCGCAATGTTTATATTCTGTAAGGTTAGAACTATTTGTTTTCGTCTTGTCCACCGTAAATCAAAAGGAGTTGTGATCACGAATTCTGTCATATTCTTAATACAATGGAGCAATCAAATTTTTTACAAAGCAAAAATCAATCAGCTAACTCGACATGGCATGAAGCGTGACAGAACTCTGATTGCTACCAAACGCGGTTACGTTGCGTTTCCCTGTTATTTTCTGCAAAGTAACGGCGTAAAACAAAGAGAAATTCAAACTTTGCGGAAACACGAACACGCTACAGTTATTTTTCATGTTTCTGGTGGACGTCTCGTGTTTGCTTAAGGCCTCTGAGTTTGACAGCGAAGCAAAAAGTTAGCGCAAAACAGTTGGATCAATTTAGGTTTCGGGGAAACTGCCCACCTATCCCTCCCGTAAGTTAACATTAACACTTACTTCTCGCTTAGGGCAAAATGTTGGCTTAGGGGAGGGGTAGGTGGGCAGTTTCCCAGAAACCTAAATTGCTCCAAACGTTGTTTTAAAAAAGGTAATGTTCTTTGTGTTTTCATTGATCGATTGATTGATTGATTGATTGATTGATTGATTGATTGATTGTTTGTTTGATTGATTGATTGATTGATTTCAGATAAAACCCAAGAGACTTAGTTTAGTGCATCACTTTACAGAACTGTTAGATCCTTCAGAAGGTTTGGTAAGTAACCCAAACGCATTTTTTTAAAAGTGGCTAAGCTTAATCTTTTTCCTACGAAAAAGGTTAGTCGTTCAGCCCAGACAAAATGCTTGTTTGTTTTTGAGATACCAGTAGTTACCTGAAGTCAGTGTCTTATGCAACTCTAGTATCAGCTTAAGTTTCAGCTGTCAGTCTAATACGCATCACGTTCTTTTGAGTCTTCGTCTTCATTCATCTCAATATTTAATCCCTTGCAGAAACGCGGAGCAATGGTGTTTGCGTTATCGCGCACAGGAATGGAAAGAACCTACACAAAGTCTTGCGAGATTGCAGATCTTCTTGAAGAGGTGACACACAAAATCCTATCAATTCATTCTATATTTCTAATAAAGTGATTTTCATCTGATGCCAAAGAACTTTGTTAAATACTTTGCGTTGGCGTTGCTACGCTATGCACTTGCTTGAAAATCTTGCACCTCTTTCTCGCCTTGTTTGGTTTCATGGTTTTAACTAACAAGCCAAGCTACGGCTTGATTTGAACGATTTGACATCTTTGCGATGTGTTTTGGTGGGTCACAAAAAATGCAGAACAAGTTTTAAAAATTTCAGATAATTTTGGAGGCGGAGTTAGGGCCTGTTTACACTCTAGGTTGATGAGGGCTGGGGTTCCCGACCTCTGTGTAAACAGGCCCTTACGCTTTTGCATGAGAGATTTTAGCTTTCGTCTTCTTACATACCCGGGATGCCCGAGATCTTCTCGTCCACCATCGGCGAGGCACCCAAGATAATCCCTACAATTACAATAGTCGAAGCTGAAGAACACGATTCAGACGTTTTTTAGCAAACAAACAAGCAAATTACACCATGCGACAGTACTGCTCAAGAGGTTTCTGCATTGGAATGGTCTTTTCACGGAATTTCGTACACAGATTCAACTTAGAAGAACATGTTCCCTCTCTGGAAGGGGAAGGTTTCATTTTCAGTTTTCTGATGCACAACGCCTGCATCCAAAACATCACGGAATTTTATTGTTTCTGAATTATATGGCACCCATCAGGCACTAAAAAATTTGTAGGCAAAATAGAAATGTCAAAACAGCGCCATGGCTCACTGCTAATCACTGATTTAAATTTCATCAGGACGGTTTATCAGCAGTTGGAGATTTCAATGATGTTCTGGTGCCTCGTTATTCTCAAGAAGAACTTGAATCCTGTCTTCAGTTTTACAGAAAGAGAGGCCTGCTATCTAAAGGTACTATCCAATAGCAGTAATCATGATAACTCAGGCCTTATGTTGCAAAAGAAGAGATTAGATAGTAAGGATTCTATCTCTTCTCGCTTACCAGCTCCTCCCCCCTCCCCCATCCTCATCGCCCCCCTACGCTTTGGCTCTTGTGAAAGTTCGTGTGTTCATGAGAAAATGAAGATACAACAAAATAGAGGACTGTACACTGTCTACTGTAGCAAACTGTATATCAGTTTTAGTCCCAAGTGAGCTACTCTCTATTATGTCGTAAACCAAAGTCACTTTGTTGGTTTCATCAATCCACAACAGTCGCAAGCGATTACAATGAAACGAAGGGCTGATTTATTAGCCAACAAAAAACCATCGAGGTGCAAGGCCATAGTAATTGCTAGATCACTTTGAAGACTTCATTGAAGACCGCTCTACGGGCCATCCTGTCATTTAAAATTGGCCAGAGTGTTCTATGCGTGGGAGTCTTTGCCTGAGGCCACCGTTTTCGCGTTCCACCTCCACACTTACGAATCTGGGAGTTCCACTTTAAAGCAGATTTGATTAATTTTTTCGACTCCTCTTGTCTTCATTTCAGATGTCAATTCTCGATTAACAAAGGAGGTGTCTTTTCTTTCTAATCACGAACCTAAACTCGTTAGTGACTTGTGTAGGCTGGGCTGAAAATTTGTAGCAAGAAAATTAAATTGTGTATGTAAATAAACCTCGTAGAAACTTAAAGTCTGCTTTTGCGTTATACCTTGGTACTCTTTAGCTAATATAAAGACGAATTTTTAAGGCTGGTTTTCACAGGCGACTGAATCGGACTTGTAAGCGGGGTCGTAAGAGCGCTTATTACTCAGTGAAAATCAAAAATCAAAGCCGCAATCGGAGTCGCAAGCTGAGTCATAAGCACAACAGAATCGGAAGAATCAGAACTTTTCCATTTTCTTCCGAATCTGCTTATTACTCCGTCGCTTATGATGTGGTGAAAACCAGACTGTTGGAGTCGGAAGCAGAAGGATAAACCAATCGCAATAATCGTTCCCACGCTTTGTGATTGGTAGAGATCTTCCGCTTGGGCTTGCGACTTCGACGAACTACGTAAGCGACGGAGTCGTAAGCGGAATTATAACGCTGCTTCAACTAGATTGCAATGCACCACGCTTCTGATTACGACTTCGTCTCCGCCGCTAGTGAAAATCAGCCTGCACGTGTCCAAAGCCAATCTGTCGCACCTGCTGCAATTTTTCTCACGTCCATTAAAAACACAACTCGTACAGTACGCTGTATCTTCTGTATGTGTACTGGGTATTTTTAGGGAGCCCTGTGTTTGACCGAGCATATAAGACACAAAAAATTGTCTGTTGCGTGGCCCAGTGCGATCCCAATTCGGTTGTCCTGCGTATTAACAACTCTTAATTATAGTTTTTGTCTTTGTAGTAGTCGAGGTACGTTGACTTGCATGCGTTAAAAAAAATGGCGAAGTTTTGAGCTTGACGTTTGTGGGAAAGAAGACTTAGCAAAACTGTGCAAGCTTATCCAGTAGCGGATTCAGGGGAGGGGCCCGGGGGGCCCTCCCCCCCTTATTTTTAGACCAAACTGAAGCCCGAAGGGCCCAAAAAAATTTTTTGGAGACTGTTCCCCCACCTTATCTCAGGGTCTGAATAACCGCCCCCCCCCCCCCTTATCTGAAGGTCTGGCGTCGCCACTGTTATCAGTGCATGCAAGAGCTAAACAAATAGGCATTGTCGCACTTCCAACTTGCTTTAACCTGGGAATCGCAATAAATTTCGTACTTTACTTTCGTTCTGTGACACATTTTCGCCGGCTTCTTTTCTCCATCCTTCCTTCCTATTCAAACCCTACTTATAACATTTTGAATTGACCGTAAAATTAATTCTGAATACTGATTTCGAGTATGCAATGGGTAAACAAGTCAGAATGAAAAGAAACTAGTTCGCTGGCAAGAGCAATAGCAGGGCCTAATTCTCAGTCCACAGCTCCGTAGCCCGTTCAGTAGTTTTGGAAATCAAACGTTTATTTTTAGATCTATGGCTCCGTGTGCGACCACCTCCCGTAAGCGACCACCTCCCATAAGCCACAACCATCCAAAACACCAAATTTTTTCCAGTCAAAGCCCTGTAGTTGGAAGCTCCCGTAAACGACCACCTCGCGTCAGAAAATGGGAACATTCTGAAACGACCACCTCGTGTATATAAGCGACCGCGACAACGTTTCGGGTTGATGGTATAAAAATGTTTCATTTTTTCTAACCTCTTGACTTATGGTGTGATCTCTATTTTTGCTGTATTTACTATGCTACTTACAACATAAGAACTTTTAGTGACAACATGGAACAACACATACCGTAACTAAGAAATTGCATGCAAAAAATTATCTTCTATAAAGTAGAGGTGTCCGGATCTCACAGACGAAACCCCCTGTGGTTCGACTCTTGTAAACGACCACCTTCCGTAAGCAACCACTAAGTTTTTTGGTGGTTGCTTACGGGAGGTTCGAGTTTAATGACAATACACAAACTGATAACGCATCCGACACTTAATTTGAGTATCGAATAATGTTTCTTCTCTGCTTTTTTGGACACTGTCTGTATGAGTTGGGTCCTAAAATTTTTCACTTGACTGTCAAGCTATTGAGAGATTCGAGGAGATGATTAGTTGTTTAGCAGTGCAGAAATCAAAACTATTGCTTCTTTTTTTGTCTTGCGTCAAATGGGGTGGGCAAAATTCTCGACAACTGTAAAGTTATTGTTAACCTAATGCTTTGTTGGCGAAGTAATTAATTAAGACTTAGGTTTGTTGACATTTCATTGACCAACCTAAATAAGGGGGTGGTTTTTGTTTAATTTTGGTTTAGAAACAAAGTTTTGATAAAATTTCACAAAAGTGCCCTTGTTCACCATCGATTGGTGATCATCCTCGGCCAAACTTCGCGATTTCTTTTTTCGCATATTTCATATTTATTCATCAATTCGAACAACATGCAATTTGTCGGCGATAAAATAGATCTTTCTTATTGGCAGTGGTAATTAAAAAACACATCGTAATCAACCTTGCATTGCGCACAGTTATCTTAAAATTGAAATTACTTACGTAAATGTAAGGGAAGTCAAACAATAGAAATCTCTGCAATTAGTTCCGTAGCGGTCGGGCAAATGTAAACAAAATCCCTTCTGTTAGTAAACTTTTATACTTCCAGGTAAATATCTTGAAAATGGTTCAGATGGTTGGCGGTTTTCTCCCGCATTCTACAAATATGATTTATTTTATCTGACTGTTGCCTCAGTGATGCGTGGCAAGCAAAAAGACTGATGATTGGGGATGATTAATTCAAATTAAATTATTTAATCTCAGCAAAGTCTTTTCAAAATGCTAATGCGTAGTTATTTGAAGAAGTTTACGCTCTAGTAATTTACATTTCGTAAAGGAACCAAGATAATAGCGCCAAAAAGAACACAAGTTTATTTAAACCACGACATAGGTGGTTTACAAAGGATCTCTCTTGCGACCTAAGAGCAACAGTGTGAAAGAGGGACTCTAAAAACGTCGCTACAAAATTTCTCTTAACGAGGAAGTATATTTATTGAGGACCTCATATTGGAGCTGTTTATCACGAAGATCATATCTTATGCTGATCTGTTTGTGCCTAATCCTTTTACAAGTTGATTACAGAAAGCTTCTTTTCACTGTCTTTGCCCCTGGTGTTTGCGACGAGCACAAATAGAATTTAGAGGCAAGTGTTTGGTTTATTTTTTGGGGTTTTTGGTGTACCTATTGCCGCCTGGAGCCTAAGATTACAACTTATAATCTGCTGCTTTCATCCACAGATCTGTAAACAGCTGGAGCAGTATTTGCAGCAAGAAGTCGACGGGACACTATGAAAAGATGAAACCCGACATATCTAGCGCGAGACGTCCTCGTCTGATGTTCATCTTGCTAGTGGTGGTGTTAGCTTCTTTGAGATTTGAAAGTAAGTAATCTGATAAAATCACATGAATAGACTTAGTTAGAGTACTGAGGTCCGTGTGATCCTTTGGTTTACATACTATATGTACATTATGAGTACTTATGTTGTTATAGGGAAACCTGTTTGCCAACATCTTGTAGGCCATTTCCAGTATTGAAGTGTTTCGAGAAATATTCATACGCAGAATTATATGTGTACATGTACCTATATTTGTGAGTGTGAATATATCGTAACGCTCAGTATTGATGAAAGCGCTTAAATTTTTCAGCTTTAGACACTTAATCGCGAATAGAAAGCAACGCAAGAATTAAGGAAGACAATTTTGCAAGGAATTAAAGTTCAAGATTTGAATGTGCCAGGTGTTGAGACTGGTAGCATTTTTTCCTCTTTACTTGCTTAAACAACCTGTCACCATTTTCCGCAATGTCTTGAAAGGTTTGGACACCGTTTTACTGGTAATGTAAAAGCTTCGCCATTTGTTACTTTATACGTAGTCTCCGTTGTCTCAATTTCGCTGTATCATTGTCTTGAGGTACTAAAGAGGTGTTAAAATTTAGTTACGTAATGGCTCGTTTAACAGTTCAAAGCCCTGCCCAACATAAATTCAATACAAAAAAACTTTCTCTTTTTTCTGAGGGTATTATATATTCAAAAGAAGACGGCAAACATTAAGATCCAACAGTTGAAGTATATGAACAACTCATTTAATAAAACTCTACAATTTAGCATTTTATCAGGACTATTATTCTTCGCGAGAATTCTTCTGCTAACAGCTGTAGGAAGGGTAGTAAATCCTTGCGAACAACCTGTCACTTGGGGGACCATGCCCCCATAGACAAATTTGCTTTTTATATACCTTCTTTTAAACTGTTCTCTCAAGACTATTACATTCAATGTATATTTTGGGAATAATTCCGTGTAGGTAAAACTACTGTCTCGCATGGCTGCCTTGTGTTATGTTGGCCATAGAACTGATCTTCCACCAGCATTTTTACCCGGAGACAGGATCAATATCGCTTAAACCGGACCATTTTGCGAGTTATCTGATAGAGAAACCCGCGTACATGTAATTGTTTAGACTGCTTCTGATGGTCATTTCCCCTTTAATTAAAACACGACAGATTTTATTTCCTTCACAAAGCGGTACAGCTTTGAAAATGCAATTAAAACGAGCCTTTTGGCAAGTTGTTTTGACGTTACTAGAGGGTTGCTAGGAAACAAAATTTTTTATAAAAAATTAATTGTAGCTCGCTTTTTTAATCCATCTCCTTCCTATAATTAAATGAATCTTTAAAAAACAGTTTTGGGAATTTAGGATATAGTAAGCCTATTAAAGGTTTACTGTTTTAATCCTGGATAAGGGTTCTGTTGTGGAAGATTAAAACATCTGTCTAGCGTTAACGCACATTGAGAATAAGATTCGTGAGAAATCGTGAGCATTCCGGCCCAGAGTACAGACAACGAATTGAGTTTACTAGGGTCAAAGTAATTTACCGAAACTTCGAATAAATTTAAAAGCAATAAAAGAGATTGAATGTTTGGCCATGGTTAAAAGGGCCGATATAGAAATTAGTTAGTTTCTTGACGGGCAGTCATTACTGTATTTTTCCGTTTGCGATATCGGTTATCTTTATCACTGATCGTTTTTACCTTGAATCAGGAGCACCCAACGACTGTTTCCTGTAAAATATCTGTTCGGAGGAGCAAATATGGCCTAGAATTTTCTATTGCTTGAAAAATGCTTAAAATTTCTAGAAGACCTTTCCATTCATGTTTAATTTTCGAAGCTTATCTAATACTTTTCCTTACAATTTTATGAAGTTTAGTTTTCTCGTTTCATTACTCAGGTTTGGTTATTTTTCATACAAAAAAATGAAACCTAAAATTTTCGAATTCAAAAATGTGATGGAGAGAGGAATCAGAAAAATTCTCACTTTCCTAAAACGATAATTTGCATTTTAAATTTTCGGGAAACTAATACTGAAGCCCTTGTAACATCGAAAAGACTTAAGTTCCCCTAGGATGACCAATCAGACAGAAATTTTATAGCGCCGCTTGGAATGCATTTCTAAAGATCTAAAAGTACTCTGGATAGTCTAAAAAGTGTTTTAATGTATTTTGGAGGAGACGGTCGATGGGTACTCTTGTTGAATACGCGCTTTAAAATACAAGTCAGTCGCACAAGAAGTTATCCGTGCGTTTGACCGCAAGCGGGAAGGTGAATGAGAATCGCGTAAAACTATCACATATGCCAAACCTAAACACTAATGAACAAGAACAATAGTCAGGTTCCGCTTATGTGATGTCCGACGTTTAATACAGGCCCGCGTTAGCAATGTTTAGTTTTCCTGTTCCAGAGTACAGTATTAGTATAAATATAAGTCTGTCGCAGCGTCCATTTTCAAGCTTATAAACTGCACCATGTTTCGTGCAACGTACGAGAATAAGGAGGGTTCCCACACTGTATCTCTGTATAAATAAATACATAAAATAAAATAAATAATTAAATAATGGTTTGGAGGTAGCACATCCACATAGTGGTTCTTCGTCTACATGATTCCTGGTCGAATTGGAATTAGGACAACGCATAAACATCATTTAACGTATAAATGTTCATGATTCTGTTCATGTATTAGGACTTAGTTGCCATTTAACTACACTTCAATTCTTGTTTGCTCTCGAATTGTGGCAGGCACTCATTAGCCTGCATAACAGGCGGTTTGCGAGCCAAGTAAGGCGAACGCGACATTTTGCGCGAAGCTCGAGATGAGCACGATTTTTTTATTCTCCCCTCGTCTCACGCCTTCCGCTTGTTTCGCGCAAAATGCCGCGTTCGCCTCTCTTGGCTTACAAAGCGCCTGTTGTGCAGGCTAATTTTACTACACTTCAATTCTTGTTTGTTCCTGAATTGTGGCAGGCACTCATTTCAGGCGCTGCTCTGTTATCATTTCTCTCAGTTCGAGATTGATGAAACGCATTTTTTCTAAACAATCTGCAAACCTCAGCTCATCCTCAGTGCAAAAAATTGTTTAACTCACAAGTGACGTAAAACAAACGAAATAAAGAAGTCAACACAATAGAAACTAGAAAAAAAAGTGGAAAACAAAGAAAAAGGTTCTTTCACCGAGGTAAATCCCAAAATTCAAGAAAAATCCAAGGTCATTTGTCAAATAGGGATAGTACAACATGAACGTACCGGCCAGGAGGTTTGATTTGGAAAGTCATAACTACAGAGGATTTCCTTATTCTGTTCTTTCGTTGGGTTGCTCGTAATGCACTTGCCGGTCCTGAAGGGATTGCCATTGCTTCTTAAATTAGAAGTACTGTCGTGGGGGGCGAACATTTGAGGAGCTGTGGTTCGTTTCCTCCAGTCACTCTTCGTGACATCTTACTCCTCCACTGCAAACTCCAAAGGAACTACTATATTGTGTCAGTCCAGAAGAATTGTGGGCATCTGCACGTGGACAGAATTTTCATATTTTAACTTTTTCAGTCTAGTACATTAAAAGTAAAATGGAGGTTCTTTATTTCGATCTCCTTATTTTGGCTTGAGCAATTGCTGTTACTGAACTGAATCCTGACTGAAATATGAATTGTTGTTGATTTTCCCTTGAAGGCTGTCATGCTCAGACAAATCAAACAAAGATTGAGCAGACTCTCATAAAGGCCTTGTTTAAAAATTACGACTCTGAAGGAAGACCAGTCTTGAACCTGTCGGAACCTGTTTTGGTGAAGTTTGGAATTGTATACAGTAATCTTCACAGTTTGGTAAGTGTCTGCTTCTTCGTTCAACCTCACTCAAATCTCGGTTTACAATCAACAGCCAGAAATCAGGAAGTTGTCATGAGTATTTAGGCAACCAGGCTATCCTTTTCCAAAGTTTGCTTGTTTGCTTGTTTTACTCATTTATAGTTGTTTGTAACTTTGGTAGTAAAAAAGAGTACCAGCGATGAGACGATTATGTGTAAAAATGATAAAAATATATTCAGTCACCTAAACATGTGTTGCAGTGGCAGTAATCTTGCTTTATAATTTACAATTGTTGTTTTTCACGTTCCACTATTCGACTGCCCAAATTAAGAAGTCAGCGTTGTTGAGGCATACCTAGAAAAATTTTAAAACTCAATGTATTATTCCGAGGCTTCTTTTTCTTCCCCACCCGTCCCCGCCCCCCCTCTACCGCTGTCCTCCTTCCTTCTATCTTTGCTAAAATGCAGTAGAACTTTGACTCCGATCTGAGAAGAGAAATTGGCAAAAGTAACCCCGTTGTTACTTAGCTTGATACTTTACCAATATGTTGTAGATTTACCAAACACGTTGCAAGTTACTAAAAGAATCCTTTCAATAGAAACTATGTATTAGGTGTTTCCATCATGGCAAACCTTTATTTTGGCGTAGTGGGTGGTTTATTGGTTGTTTTGAGAAACATAAAAACTGTAGACTTTTTGGCGACGTTTTTTGAAAACAATCTTAATCGGAAGCGAAGCATTTTAACGCAAAGAATCTCATTATCTTAGCAAAATCTATGAGGATTACTAACCAATCTCCATATACATTCTAGCCCATGTTTCCACTTCATGCCCAATTAAAACTCAGAAAAATAAAGCAAAATGCCTGAGCTATTTGACCACACCCATCAATCATTAAATTACACTTTGCGGCCGTGTTTCCTAGATTTTTACCTGTTTTGGAAAGCCTAGCTATGAGAGTTACGCCCTTTGAACTTTAGGCTTGTTCCAGACTCTTAAGTCATTCATTCGAATCGTTAGATTGAAAACCTTTCTATTTCACCTGTATATAGGTTCAGCTGTTGCCTTAAATGAAAACACTTTTGCCTTAACTAGTTGCAAAAACATATTCAGCAAAGGCAAGAAGAAGGTCCCTTTTTTGGACTAAAACATATTTTATCAAAAATAATCAAAAGAGTGTTGTCATTTACGTACACAAAAACAACAGAAAGAATAAATAGAATGGCGGTAATCAATTTGTTTCGCCGGTGGGTGCCAGCCCTAATTTATGATCAATTTAGTCGTACTTTCCGTTTTTTTTTTAAATTAAATGTCGTTTCCTGGTTATTGTTCTTACAAGCTTACTGTGTGTTATCTGCGTGACTTTCCTGTTTTTTAGGTCGATCAAATGAATCTAATTTAGTGAAGCCTTGGTAGGCAATTTTTACTGCAATGAAATAAAAACGGCTTCTTGTAAAATTTGCTGTTCAAAGGCAGGCAAAGTTTAAATTAACTATAAAGAATTAGCACCCCTACTCAAAGACGTTCCCGCCTTCTCTAAAATATTTAAGCACTTGGGATGTTGGGAGAACACGAGAAGTGCTTGTAAATCGCGAGCCAAAGGTGACTGATTTACAAGCTTTTCGAGTGTTCTCTCAACATCCCAAGTGGGTTATCACGCCGGTAAACCCATAGAAAAGTGTGGTCTATTGCTTTTACAAAATAACTTTAAGTTTTCTATGAGTTTACCGGCACAATAAACCATAGGTTTTTAACCAATCAGAACGCGCGTACTATCTTATTTATTTTATAAATATGTATATGTACACGAAAAATACTATTGACCTCTATAATGGTCGGGTTGTCGAACACCGTATGACTAAACCGGGGAGAGGGCACTCAAGAAGTTTTTATACGGGGAGTCGCCGCCCCGAGGTCCTATCCCTCCCCTTTTACATGCCATTTTTGTTATAGAAGGTGTCCCTTTTGTAGTTCTGTTGACAAATAGTACCCTTTTAAGTAACTAGTTCAGAACTCTGCATCCCATTTAACTGCTGTAAATGTACCGTCTTTTAAATATAGAGAAATCACAAAACAGAAAGGAGAAAAATGAATGATCAGAGAAAGTATTCCCAATGTAAATACCCTCTTTTATCTTTCTTAGGATGAGAAAAATCAAGTTTTAACAAGTAACGTGTGGATAAGACAGGTTGGTCAAGTAAACTTGGAAGCTAATAGACAATTCAATCGTAAATTACATAGCTTTCGTCGTTTCTCTGGACCTGATTTGGGATATGTATCGATAAAAGCCGATCTCAGAAATTTACCTCAAAAATACTGCAAAATATTTGTCCGCATGCGATTTTCTTGAATTTAAGTGGGATTCATTGAAATCAGTTTTGCAATAATCTATTTATTCCAGTCAAATCGAATTTTCAAATATTATTGCTGAATAATAACCAAGAGTTTTCCAAAGATTATCTAGCCATGGTCATAAAGCCGAAAAAGTTATGGGTCAAACCTTGTCATAGATAGCTATTAAATGGCCATCTGCGTGAGAGGCAATTTTAGAGGTGGACATTTTTGCCACGCGAACTTGGTAACGGAATTTTACGACTCCTCTTCAACAAACTATATTTTCGTACCCTTCCTTTACATCTGGGGCAAGACGTTGTCACGGACTAGTATTCCATTAAGGGGTTGGTGCGAGGGTCGCATAAAGGCGCCTTATACCATCCAACCAGTTAGCGCACCGTGGCTCAATTATAACTCTTAACTTTTTATTGTTAATCATTGCAGCAATGGCACGATCCGTGGTTGTCTTGGGATCCTGCAAAGTACAATGGACTTAAATCCATCAACATCAGTCCTAATTTGGTTTGGAAGCCCGACATTATTCTTTATAACAGGTTAGGAAACGCACATGTATATTGTATATTGTCGAATACGCGCTGCAGACATGCAAGGTAAGGTAAGGTAGCGCTGAGGGATGCTCATTCCGTTTCCAAAAGAGCATTTTTTTTAAGTCGAAGGCATGCCGGATTCAAAGAAGCACTTGTTTTAGTCGAATACGAGGTATTTTTTACAGTTAATATTGTATGCTTACATTGCCATTTTTTTCTTTCAAAAAAAAATCATAAAAGTTGATTTGTAATTTCTTTGCATTGGTTAGAAGATTATTGTTTCGAGTTCGCGGTTAGTTTGTATCGGGTGCTCCACTATTAGGTTCGGCTAAATCTATATATTATTTATTTCCCACAGCGTCAACGAAGAAGGAGATCACGGTGAACAGTACCTATTCGACACCAAAGTTATCGTCAGCAGTGATGGAACAGCCACGTGGTTCTCTCCTAATCTCATCCAAAGCTCCTGCAAAATCAATGTCAAATATTTTCCTTGGGATACACAAACTTGCAAACTCCAGTTCGGCTCGTGGACATTTGACGGGTTAAAACTTGACATCGTTTTCTATGGAGATGCTCCAAGGGCAGATCTAGGCTCCTTCACTCGGAATGGAGAATGGAACCTGTTGTCGGCTGAGGGGAAGAGAAATGTTATTTACTATAGTTGTTGCCCAGAACCTTACCCTAATCTCACGTTCGACATCAAAATCCAACGACGAACATTGTTTTACATAAACAACTTGATTGTTCCTTGTATTATTTTGGCACTTCTCACAGCAACAGCGTTTCTGTTTCCGCCGGAAACGGGCGAAAGAATCTCGCTGATGATCACTATTCTATTGGGAATGACTGTGTTTATGACTGTAGTCGTGGAAGCCACACCCTCCACATCTGAAGTCACCCCACTTATCAGCACTTACTTCTCTGTAGTCATGGTGGTGATTTCCTTGGGTCTCCTGTGCACGTGCATCTGTCTCAACCTTGAACATCATCACCCTAAAATGGAGCTAACCGGTTGGTGCCGGTATATCCTGTTTGACCTGATGGGACCTGTTTTGAGCAGGAGCTCGGTGAAGAGACTCAAGAGAAAACAACAGGAATACAACAGAGAAATTAAACTCAGCGCATGTTATTTGAAAGAAAACCAAGTCGCACCAGAAGAAGATAAAATTGCTATGACCGATGTTTCGCAGACCGAAATTAAGAACGTGAAAGTGGTTGGGAAAGAAATAAAAGTCGCGGGCATGGATAAAGTGACCAAGTTCATCGATAAGTCGTTATCTGAAGACAGAAGAAAACTGGAATGGCACATTGTCGTGAACATAATTGACAATTTCTTTTTCGTTGTTTTTCTTCTTACTATTACGGTTTGCTCGCTGATAATTTTGATGCCGAACACCGACAGCTAAAAGCAGATTGTTTTTAATGATTATCCATGTACGCAGGGTTTTTAGTGACAAAGGCCTGGTGTTTAGACGACGATTTATAAATCTTCAATTTATTAGGCATATTATATACTAGATTAAAATCCCACCCTCACCTCTCGCTGGCACAAGGAAGTTCCCGATTACTGTAACATCGTCATTGTCATCATCATCGCCATTATCATCATCATCATCATCATCATCATCATCATCATCATCATCATCATCACCATCATCATCATGTTTAGGGTGTCCTGTGTTTGAGCGAACATACAAGACAAAAAAATTGTCTGTTGCGTGGCCCAGTGCGATCCCAATTCGGTTGTCCTGTGTCTTAAAAAGTCTTAAAATAATTATAGTTTTTATTTTTGCAGTAGTCGGGGTACGTTGACTCGCATGTGGTTAAAAAAAATAGCGAAGTTTTGACCTTGAAGTTGGTGGGAAAGAAGACTTAGCAAAACTGTGCAAGCTTTTCCAGTGGCGGATCCAGGGAAGGGGCCCCGGGGGGCCCGCCCCCCCCCTTATTTTTAGACCAAACTGAGGCCTTATCTCAGGGTCTGGATGACCGCACCCCCCCCCCCCCCCCCTTTATCAGAAGGTCTGGATCCGCCACTGTTATCAGTGCAAGAGCTAAACAAACTTCCAGCTTGCTTTGACCTGGGAATCGGAATAACTTTCTTACTTTACTTTCGTTCTGTGACACATTTTCGCCGGCTTCCTTTCTCCATTCTTCCTTCCCATTCAAACCCTACTTATAACATTTGACTAAACCGTAAAATTAGTTTTGAATACTGACTTCCGAGTATGCAATGGGTAAACAAGTCAGAAAGAAAAGAAACTAGTTCGCGTTCAGTTTACAGCTCCCGTAGCCCGTCCAGTAGTTTTGGAAATCAAACTTTTATTTTTAGATCTATGGCTCCATGTGCGACCGCCTCCCGTAAGCGACCACCTGCCATCAGCCATAACCATCCAAAACACCACATTTTTCCTCATGTCAGAAAATGGAAACGTTCTGAAACGACCACCTCGTGTATATAAGCGACCGCGACAGCGTTTCGGGTTGATGGCATAAAAACTTTTCATTTTTTCTAACCTCTTGACTCACGGTCTGATCTCTATTTTCGCTGTGTGTACTATGCTACTTACAATATAAGAACTTTTAGTGACAACATGGAACAACACATACCGTAACTAAGAAATTGCAAGCAAAAAGTTATCGTCCATCAAGTAGATGTGTCCGGATCTCACAGAAGAAACCCCAAGTGGTTCGATTCTTGTAAACGACCACCTTCCTAAGCAGCCACTAAGTTTTTGGGTGGTTGCTTACGGGAGGTTCGAGTTTAAGGTGGCTCGATATAGTTTTTCAAGGTCGATACCTCCCAAGTTTAAGCGTAAACTACGTCGCCATAAGCAAAGATTTGGAAAAATTGACACCACAGTTGTATTAGATAAAGATGAAAACTTGTTATGATCAGGGTTGCAATGACATCGGAGTTGTCATAGCAACGAAATGACGCCATTACCTATTTTACTTGCAGCAGTATTTCTCGGCACTGGGAAATGTTCTTCCAAAATCGTTTACGGGAGCTTTTTCCTACAATAGCGGCCTCGATGTTTGTGAAGTTTAAGCGAAATCTGTAAGAGCGTTATCGAGATATTTTAGGAAGAAGTTTTTACAGTTAGAAATACGGTAAAAAAAGGACAATCTTGATGTTCGACTGTTATCTATACTAAACGAAGCGCTTTTTACATGCAATTTCACCTCATAGTAGTTTAAATCTTTTTAAAAACGTATGCGAAAGATCATGGAGATACCTCCAGCCGATTGCTAGAAAGAAGGATTTGATTAGTATGTATCAAGGCGCTCTTTTTAGTAGTAATGTAAACATTTCGGTCTACTTTACCAAATAAGCGAATAATTTTTAAAGCGCTCGATAAGTTTTTTTGAAAATTTAAGAGTCTTGAGATTAACCGTCCTTTTATATGACCTCTTAGTTCCAAGATTATTGATATATTGTAAGGCAGTAAAATAAGGGCTTGAATTCGCTAATATTTTGTCAAGAGTTTTGTGTTTACAAGTGATAGCCTCTCATTATTCAGGGGTATTGTCTCCAAAATTCATATTTTCGTGCACAACAATAGCTAGCATTTTTGCATATGTCAAATGCATTGTTAGTTACTGCTGTTCACTTGAAAATGAAACCTTGAGACAATACCCCTGAATAATCAGCGACTCTCACTTGTAAAGACAAAATTTCTGACAAAATATTAGCGAATTGTAGCCCTTATTTTAATGCCTTACAATATTTCAATAATCTTGAAACTAAGAGGTCATATAAAAGGACGGTTTATCTCAAGACTCTTAATTATTTTTTAAAAAAATCATCGAGTGCTTTAAAAGATATTCGCTAATTTGTTAAAGTAGACCGAAATGTTTACATTGCCGCCAATAAGAGCGTCCCGATACATACTAATCAAATCCTTCTTTCTAGCAATCGGCTGGAGGTATCTTCATGATCTTTCACACACGTTTTTAAAAAGATTGAAACTACTATGAGGTGAAATTGCATGTAAAAAGCGCTTCGTTTAGTATAGATAACAGTCGAACATCAAGATTGATCATTTTTTACCGTATTTCTAACTGTAAAAACTTCTTCCTAAAATATCTCGATAACGCTCTTACAGATTTCGCGTAAACTTCACGAACATCGAGGCGGCTATTGTAGGAAAAAGCTCCAGTAAACGATTTTGGAAGAACAGTTCCCAGTGCCGAGAAATACTGCTGCAAGTAAAATAGGTAATAGCGTCATTTCGTTGCCATGACAACTACAATGTTATTGCAACCTTGATCATAACAAATTTTCATCTTTATGTAATACAACTGTGGTGTTAATTTTTCCAAATCTTTGTTTATGGCGACGTAGTTGACGCTCAAACGTGGGAGGTATTCAGTCTAAAAAACTGTATCGAGCCACCTTAATGACAATACACAAACTGATAACGCATCCGACACTTAATTTGAGTATCGAATAATGTTTCTTCTCTGCTTTTTTGGACACTGTCTGTATGAGTTGGGTCCTAAAATTTGTCACTTGACTGTCAAGCTATTGAGAGATTCGAGGAGATGATTAATTGTTTAGCAGTGCAGAAATCAAAACCATTACTTCGTTTTTTGTCTTGCGTCAAATGGGGTGGGCAAAATTCTCGACAACTGTAAAGTTATTTTTAACCTAATGCTTTGTTGGCGAAGTAATTAATTAAGACTTAGGTTTGTTGACATTTCATTGACCAACCTAAATAAGGCGGTGGTTTTTGTTTAATTTTGGTTTAGAAACAAAGTTTTGATAAAATTACACAAAAGTGCCCTTGTTTACCATCGGTTGGTGATCATCCTCAGCCAAACTTCGCGATTTCTTTTTTCGCATATTTCATATTTATTCATCAATTCGAACAACATGCAATTTGTCGACGATAAAATAGATCTTTCTTATTGGCAGTGGTAATTAAAAAACACTTCGTAATCAACCTTGCATGGCGCACAGTTATCTTAAAATTGAAATTACTTACGTAAATGTAAGGGAAGTCAAACAATAGACATCTCTGCAATTAGTTCCCTAGCGGTCGGGCAAATATAAACAAAATCCCTTCTGTTAGTAAACTTTTATACTTCCAGGTATATATCTTGAAAATGGTTCAGATGGTTGGCGGTTTTCTCCCACATTCTACAAATATGATTTATTTTATCTGACTGTTGCCTCAGTGATGCGTGGCAAGAAAAAAGACTGATGATTGGGGATGATTAATTCAAATTAAATTATTTAATCTCACCAAAGTCTTTTCAAAATGCTAATGCGTAGTTATTTGAAGAAGTTTACGCTCTAGTAATTTACATTTCGTAAAGGAACCAGGATAATCGCGCCAAAAAGAACACAAGTTTATTTAAACCACGACATAGGTGGTTTACAAAGGATCTCTCTTGCGACCTAAAAGCAACAGTGTGAAAGAGGGACTCTAAAAACGTCGCTACAAAATTTCTCTTAACGAGGAAGTCTATTTATTGAGGACCTCATATTGGAGCTGTTTATCACGAAGATCATATCTTATGCTGATCTGTTTGTGCCTGATCCTTTTACAAGTTGATTACAGAAAGCTTCTTTTCACTGTCTTTGCCCCTGGCGTTTGCGACGAGCACAAATAGAATTTAGAGGCAAGTGTTTGGTTTATTTTTTGAGGTTTTTGGTGTACCTATTGCCGCCTGGAGCCTAAGATTACAACTTATAATCTGCTGCTTTCATCCACAGATCTGTAAACAGCTGGAGCAGTATTTGCAGCAAGAAGTCGGCGGGACACTATGAAAAGATGAAACCCGACATATCTAGCGCGAGACGTCCTCGTCTGATGTTCATCTTGCTAGTGGTGGTGTTAGCTTCTTTGAGATTTGAAAGTAAGTAATCTGATAAAATCACATGAATAGACTTAGTTAGAGTACTGAGGTCCGTGTGATCCTTTGGTTTACATACTATATGTACATTATGAGTACTTATGTTGTTATAGGGAAACCTGTTTGCCAAAATCTTGTAGGCCATTTCCAGTATTGAAGTGTTTCGAGAAATTTTCATACGCAGAATAATATATTGCACATGTACCTATATTTGTGAATGTGAATATACCGTAACGCTCAGTATTGATGAAAGCGCTTAAATTTTTCAGCTTTAGACACTTATTGCGAATAGAAAGCAACGCAAGAATTAAGGAAGACAATTTTGCAAGGAATTAAAGTTCAAGACTCGAATGTGCCAGGTGTTGAGACTGGTAGCATTTTTTCCTCTTTACTTGCTTAAACAACCTGTCACCATTTTCCGCAATGTCTTGAAAGGTTTGGACACCGTTTTACTGATAAGGTAAAAGCTTCGCAATTTGTTACTTTATATGTAGTCTTCGTTGTCTCAATTTCGCTGTATCATTGTCTTGAGGTGCTAAAGAGGTGTTAAAATTTAGTTACGTAATGGCTCGGTTAACAGTTCAAAACCCTGCCCAACATAAATTCAATATAAAAAACTTTCTCTTTTTTCTGAGGGTATTATATATTCAAAAGAAGACGGCAAACATTAAGATCCAACAGTTGAAGTATATGAACAACTCATTTAATAAAACTCTACAAGTTAGCTTTGTATCAAGACTACTATTCTCCGCGAGAATTCTTCTGCTAACAGCTGTAGGAAGGGTAGTAAATCCTCGCGAACAACCTGCCACTTGGACGACCACACATGCCCCCATGGACAAATTTGCTTTTTATATGCCTTCTTTTAAACTGTTCTCTCAAGACTATTACATTCAATGTATATTTTGCGAATAATACAGTGTAGGTAAAACTACTGTCTCGCATGGCTGCCTTGTGTTATATTGGCCATTGAAATGATCTTCCACCAGCATTTTTACTCGGAGACAGGATCGATATCGCTTATTAAAAACCGGACCATTTTGCGAGTTATTTGATTGAGAAACCCGCGTTCATGTAATAGTTTAGACTACTTCTGATGGTCATTTCTCTTAAAACACGACAGATTTTATTTCCTTCACAAAGCGGTACCGCTTTGAAGATGCAATTCAAACGAGCCTTTTGGCAAGTTGTTTTGACGTTACTAGAGGGTTGCTAGGAAACAAAAATTTTTATAAAAAATTAATTGTAGCTCGCTTTACATCTCCTTCCTAGGTTTTTGGAATTTAGGATATAGTACGCGTTTTTATACGGTAATATTGTTTTTATCCTGGATAAGGGTTCTGTTGCGAAAGTTTAATACATCTGTCTAGCGTTAACGCGCATTGAGAATAAGATTCGTGAGAAATCGTAAGCATTCCGGCCCAGAGTACAGACAACGAATTGAGTTTACTAAGGTCCTGCCGGGTCAAAGTAATTTACCGAAACTTCCAATAAATTTAAAAGCAATAAAAGAGATTGAATGTTTGGCCATGGTTGAAAGGGCAGATATAGAAATTAGTGAATTTCTTGACGGGCAGTAAATTACTGTATTTCTCCGTACGCGATAAAGTTTATCTTTATCACTGCTCGTTTTTACCTTGAATCAGGGGCAACCAACGACTGTTTTCTGTAAAATATCTGTTCGGAGGAGCAAATATGGCCTAGAATTTTCTATTGCTTCAAAAATGCTTAAAATTTCTAGAAGAATTTTCCATTCATGTTCAATTTTCGAAGCTTATCTAATACTTTTCCTTACGATTTTATGAAGTTTAGTTTTTCACGTTTCATTACTCAGGTTTAGCTATTTTTCGTACAAAAAAAGTAAACCTAAAATTTTTGAATTCAAAAATGTGATGGAGAGAGGAATCAGAAAAATTCTCACTTTCGTAAAACGACAATTTGCATCTAAAATTTTCGGGAATACTGAAACCCTTATAATTTCGAAAAGACTTAAGTTCCCCTAGGATGACCGAACAGACACAAATTTTATAGCGCCGCTTGGAACGCATTCCTAAAGATCTAAAACTACTCTGCATAGTCTAAAAAGTGTTTTAATGTATTTTGGAGGAGACGGTCGATGGGTACTCTTGTTGAAAACGCGCTTTAAAACGCAAGTCAGTCGCACAAGAAGTTATCCGTGCGTTTGACCGCAAGCGGGACGGTGAATGAGAACCGCGTAATTTATATCACATATGCCAAACCTAAACACTAATGAGCGAGAACAATAGTTGGGTTCCGCTTTCCAGAGTATTAGTATAAATATAAGTCTGTCGCATCGTCCATTTTCAAGCTTATAAACTGCACTATGTTTCATGCAACGTACGAGAATAAGGAGGGTCCCCACACTGTATCTCTGTATAAATATATGAATAAAATAAAATAAATAATTAAATAACAATTTGGAGGTAGCATATCCACATAGTGGTTCTTCGTCTACCTGATTCCTGGTCGAATTGGAATTAGGACAACGTATAAACATCATTTAACGTATAAATGTTCATGATTCTGTTCATGTATAGGATTTAGTTGCCATTTAACTGCACTTCAATTCTTGTTCGCTCCCGAATTGTGGCAGGCACTCATTTCAGGCGCTGCTCTGTTATCCTTTCTCTCAGTTCGAGAGTGATGAAACGCATTTTTTCTAGTGTTATAAACTTAAAAGTTACCCTGACAGTCCGGAAACTTCAGCTCATCCTCATGCAGTGCAAAAAATTGTTTAACTCACAAGTGACGTAAAACGAACGAAATAAAGAAGTCAACACAACAGAAACTAGAAAAAAAAGTGGAAAACAAAGAAAAAGGTTCTTGCACCGAGGTAAACCCCAAAATTCAATAAAAATCCAAGGTCATTTGTCAAATAGGGATAGTACAACATGAACGTACCGGCCAGGAGGTTTGATTTGGAAAGTCATAACTACAGAGGATTTCCTTATTCTATTCCTTCGTTGGGTTGCTCGTAATGCACTTGACGGTCCTGAAGGGATTGCTATTGCTTCTTAAATTAGAAGTACGGTCGTGGGGGGCGAACATTTGAGGAGCTGTGGTTCGTTTCCTCCAGTCACTCTTCGTGACATCTTACTCCTCCACTGCAAACTCCAAAGGAACTACTATATTGTATCAGTCCAGAAGAATTGTATACATCTGCACGTGGACAGAATTTTCATATTTTAACTTTTTCAGTCTAGTAGCTTAAAAGTAAAATGGAGGTTCTTTATTTCGATCGCCTTATTTGGCTTGAGATATTGCTGTTACTGAACTGAATCCTGACTGAAATATGAATTGTTGTTGATTTTCCCTTGAAGGCTGTCACGCTCAGACAAATCAAACAAAGATTGAGCAGACTCTCATAAAGGCCTTGTTTAAAAATTACGACTCTGAAGGAAGACCAGTCTTGAACCTGTCGGAACCTGTTTTGGTGAAGTTTGGAATAGCATACAGTAATCTTCACAGTTTGGTAAGTGTCTGCTTCTTCGTTCAACCTCACTCAAATCCCGGTTTACAATCAACAGCTAGAAATCAGGAAGTTGTCATGAATATTTAGGCAACCAGGCTATCCTTTTCCAAAGTTTGCTCGTTTGCTAGTCTCATGGTGTTTTACTTATTTATAGTTTTTTGTAACTTTGGTAGTAAAAAAGAGTACCAGCAGTGAGACGATTATGTGTAAAAATGATAAAAACATATTCAATGACCTTAACATGTGTTGCAGTGGCAGTAATCTTGCTTCATAATTTAGAATTGTTGTTTTTCACGTTCCACTATTCGACTGCCCCAAATTAAGAAGTCAGCGTTGTTGAGGCATACCTAGAAAAATTTTAAAACTCAATGTACTATTCGGATGCTTCTTTTTCTTCCCCACCCCCCCCCCCCCCCCCCCTCCTCTCTACCGCCACCTTCCTTTCTTCTATATTTGCTCAAATGCAGTCGAACTTTGACTGCGATCTGAGAAGAGAAATTGGCAAAAGTAACCCCACTGCTACTTAGCTTGACACTTTACCAATATGTTGTAGATTTACCAAATACGTTGGAAGTTACCAAAAGAATCCTTTTAATAGAAACTATGTGTTGGGTGTTTCCATCATGGCAAACCTTTATTTTGGCGTTGTGGGTGGCTTATTGGTTGTTTTGAGAAACATAAAAACTGTAGACTTTTTGGCGACGTTTTTAAAACACAATCTTAATCGGAAGCGAAGCATTTTAACGCAAAGAATCTCATTATCTTGGCAAAATCTATCCAGATTACTAACCAATCTCTGTATACATTCTTGCCCATGTTTCCACTTCATGCCCAATTAAAACTCAGAAAAAAAAGCAAAATGTCTGAGCTATTTGACCGCACCCATCGATCATTAAATTACACTTTGGCGGCCGTGTTTCCTAGATTTTTACCTGTTTTGGAAAGCCTCGCTATGAGAGTTACGCCCTTTGAACTTTAGGCTTGTTCCAGACTCTTACGTCATTCATTCGAATCGTTAAATTGAAAACCTTTTTATTTCACCTGTATATAGGTTCAGCTGCTACCTTAAATGAAAAAACTTTTGCCTTAACTAGTTGCAAAAATATATTCAGCAAAGGCAAGAAGAAGGTCCCTTTTTGGACTAAAACATATTTTATCAAAAATAATCAAAAGAGTGTTGTCATTTACGTACACAAAAACAACAGAAAGAATAAATAGAATGGCGGTAATCAATTTGTTTCGCCGGTGGGTGCCAGCGCTAATTTATGATCAATTTAGTCGTACTTTCCGTTTTTTTTTTTTAATTAAATGTCGTTTCCTGGTTATTGTTCTTACAAGCTTTACTGTGTGTTATCTGCGTGACTTTCCTGTTTTTTAGGTCGATCAAATGAATCTAATTTAGTGAATCCCTGGAAGGCAATTTTTACTGCAATGAAATAAAAACATCTCTTCTTGATAAATTTGCTGTCCAAAGGCAGGGAAAGTTTAAATTAACTATAAAGAATTAGCACCCCTACTCAAAGACGTTCCCGCCTTCTCTAAAATATTAGTCATACGGTGTTCGACAACCCGACCATTATAGAGGTCAATAGTATTTTTCGTGTACATATACATATCTATAAAATAAATAAGATAGTACGCAATTTCTGATTGGTTAAAAACCTATGGTTTATTGGGCCGGTAAACTCATAGGAAACTTAAAGTTATTTTGTAAAAGCAATAGACCACACTTTTCTATGGGTTTACCGGCGTGATAACCCACTTGGGATGTTGGGAGAACACGAGAAAAGCTTGTAAATCACGAGCCGAAGGTGACTGATTTACAGAATGATGATAGAATGATGATCAGAGAAAGAATTCCCAATGTAAACACCCTTTTTTATCTTTCTTAGGATGAGAAAAATCAAGTTTTAACAAGTAACGTGTGGATAAGACAGGTTGGTCAAGTAATCTTCGAAGCTAATAGACAAATGATTAGTAAATTACATAGCTTTCGCCGTTTCTCTGGAACTGATTTGGGATATTTATCGATAAAAGCTGATCTCAGAAATTTACCTCAAAAATACTGAGAATGATTTTCTTGGATTTAAGTGGGCTTCATTTAAATCAGTTTTGCAATAATCTATTTATTCCAGTCAAATCGAATTTTCAAATATTATTGCTGAATAATAACCACGACTTTTCCAAAGGTTATCTAGCCATGGACATAAACCCGAAAAAGTTATGGGTCAAACCTTGTCATAGATAGCTATTAAATGGCCATCTGCGTGAGAGGCAATTTTAGAGGTGGACACTTTTGCCACGCGAACTTGGTAACGGAATTTTAGGATTCCTCTTCAACAAACTATATTTTCGTACCCTTCCTTTACATCTGGGGCAAGGCGTTGTCACGGACTAGTAATCCATTTAAGGGGTTGGTGCGAGGGTCGCATAAAGGCGCCTTATACCATCCAACCAGTTAGCGCACCGTGGCCGAATTATAACTCTTAACTTCTTATTGTTAATCATTGCAGCAATGGCACGATCCGTGGTTGTCTTGGGATCCTGCAAAGTACAATGGACTTAAATCCATCAACATCAGTCCTAATCTGGTTTGGAAGCCCGACATTATTCTTTATAACAGGTTAGGAAACGCACATGTATATTGTATATTGTCCAATACGCGATGCAGACATGCAAGGTAAGGTAAGGTATGGCTGAGAGCTGCTCATTCCGTGTCCAAAAGAGCATTTTTTTGGAAGTCGAAGGCAGAAGCTGGTCATCCGGATTCAAAGAAGCAATTATTTTAGTAGAATACGAGGTATTTTTACTGTTAATATTGTATGCTTATATTGGCATTTTTTTTCTTTCAAAGCGAAAACTCATAAGAGTTGATTTGTAACTTCTTTGCATTGGTTAGAAGATTATTGTTTCGAGTTCGCGGTTAGTTTGTAACGGGTGCTCCACTATTAGGTTCGGCTAAATTTGTATATTATTTATTTCCCACAGCGTCAACGAGGAAGGAGATCGCGGTGAACAGTACCTATTCGACACCAAAGTTATCGTCAGCAGTGATGGAACAGCCACGTGGTTCTCTCCTAATCTCATCCAAAGCTCCTGCAAAATCAATGTCCGATATTTTCCTTGGGATACACAAACTTGCAAACTCCAGTTCGGCTCGTGGACATTTGACGGGTTAAAACTTGACATCGTTTTCTATGGAGATGCTCCAAGGGCAGATCTAAGCTCCTTCATTCGGAATGGAGAATGGAACCTACTGTCGGCTGAGGGGAAGAGAAACGTTCTTTACTATAGTTGTTGCCCAGAACCTTACCCTGATCTCACGTTCGAAATCAGAATCCAACGACGAACATTGTTTTACATAAACAACTTGGTTGTTCCTTGTATTGTTTTGGCACTTCTCACAGCAACAGCGTTTCTGTTTCCGCCGGAAACGGGCGAAAGAATCTCCCTGATGATCACTATTCTATTGGGAATGACTGTGTTTATGATTGTAGTGGTGGAAGCCATACCTTCCACATCCGAAGTCACCCCACTTATCAGCACTTACTTCTCTGTAGTCATGGTGGTGATTTCCTTGGGTCTCCTGTGCACGTGTATCTGTCTCAACCTTGAACACCATCACCCTAAAATGGAGCTAACCGGTTGGTGCCGGTATATCCTGTTTGACCTGATGGGACCTGTTTTGAGCAGGAGCTCGGTGAAGAGACTCAAGAGAAAACAACAGGAATACAACAGAGAAATTAAACTCAGCGCATGTTATTTGAAAGAAAACCAAGTCGCACCAGAAGAAGATAAAATTGCTATGACCGATGTTTCGCAGACCGAAATTAAGAACGTGAAAGTGGTTGGGAAAGAAATAAAAGTCGCGGGCATGGATAAAGTGACCAAGTTCATCGATAAGTCGTTATCTGAAGACAGAAGAAAACTGGAATGGCACATTGTCGTGAACATAATTGACAATTTCTTTTTCGTTGTTTTTCTTCTTACTATTACGGTTTGCTCGCTGATAATTTTGATGCCGAACACCGACAGCTAAAAGCAGATTGTTTTTAATGATTATCCATGTACGCAGGGTTTTTAGTGACAAAGGCGTGGTGTTTAGACGACGATTTATAAATCTTCAATTTATTAGGCATATTATATACTAGATTAAAATCCCACCCTCACCTCTCGCTGGCATAAGGAAGTTCCCGATTACTGTAGCATCGTCATCGTCATCATCATCGCCATTATCATCATCATCATCATCATCATCATCATCATGTTTAGGGTGTCCTGTGTTTGACCGAACATATAAGACAAAAAAAATTGTCTGTTGCGTGGCCCAGTGCGATCCCAATTCGGTTGTCCTGTGTCTTAAAAAGTCTTAAAATAATTATAGTTTTTATTTTTGCAGTAGTCGGGGTACGTTGACTTGCATGCGGTTAAAAAAAATAGCGAAGTTTTGAGCTTGAAGTTGGTGGGAAAGAAGACTTAGCAAAACTGTGCAAGCTTTTCCAGTGGCGAATCCAGGGAAGGGGCCCCGGGGGGCCCGCCTCCCCCCCCTTATTTTTAGACCAAACTGAGGCCTTATCTCAGGGTCTGGATGACCGCACCACCCCCCCCCCCCCTTTATCAGAAGGTCTGGATCCGCCACTGTTATCAGTGCAAGAGCTAAACAAACTTCCAGCTTGCTTTGACCTGGGAATCGGAATAACTTTCTTACTTTACTTTCGTTCTGTGACACATTTTCGCCGGCTTCCTTTCTCCATTCTTCCTTCCTATTCAAACCCTACTTATAACATTTGACTAAACCGTAAAATTAGTTTTGAATACTGACTTCCGAGTATGCAATGGGTAAACAAGTCAGAAAGAAAAGAAACTAGTTCGCGTTCAGTTTACAGCTCCCGTAGCCCGTCCAGTAGTTTTGGAAATCAAACTTTTATTTTTAGATCTATGGCTCCATGTGCGACCACCTCCCGTAAGCGACCACCTGCCATCAGCCATAACCATCCAAAACACCACATTTTTCCTCATGTCAGAAAATGGAAACGTTCTGAAACGACCACCTTGTGTATATAGGCAACCGCGACAACGTTTCGGGTTGATGGCATAAAAACTTTTCATTTTTTCTAACCTCTTGACTCACGGTCTGATCTCTATTTTCGCTGTGTGTACTATGCTACTTACAATATAAGAACTTTTAGTGACAACATGGAACAACACATACCGTAACTAAGAAATTGCAACTAAAAAGTTATCGTCCATAAAGTAGATGTGTCCGGATCTCACAGAAGAAACCCCAAGTGGTTCGATTCTTGTAAACGACCACCTTCCTAAGCAGCCACTAAGTTTTTGGGTGGTTGCTTACGGGAGGTTCGAGTTTAATGACAATACACAAACTGATAACGCATCCGACACTTAATTTGAGTATCGAATAATGTTTCTTCTCTGCTTTTTTGGACACTGTCTGTATCAGTTGGGTCCTAAAATTTGTCACTTGACTGTCAAGCTATTGAGAGATTCGAGGAGATGATTAATTGTTTAGCAGTGCAGAAATCAAAACTATTGCTTCGTTTTTTGTCTTGCGTCAAATGGGGTGGGCAAAATTCTCGACAACTGTAAAGTTATTGTTAACCTAATGCTTTGTTGGCGAAGTAATTAATTAAGACTTAGGTTTGTTGACATTTCATTGACCAACCTAAATAAGGCGGTGGTTTTTGTTTAATTTTGGTTTAGAAACAAAGTTTTGATAAAATTACACAAAAGTGCCATTGTCTACCATCGGTTGGTGATCATCCTCAGCCAAACTTCGCGATTTCTTTTTTCGCATATTTCATATTTATTCATCAGTTCGAACAACATGCAATTTGTCGACGATAAAATAGATCTTTCTTATTGGCAGCGGTAATTAAAAAACACTTCGTAATCAACCTTGCATTGCGCACAGTTATCTTAAAATTGAAATTACTTAGGGACGGACCATTAGAAAACTTATTGGGGGCGGGCGAAGTACAAAAAAATATTCGCGCAAGGCAAAATTGAATGAAAAAAAATTCATGCACGCCAATTAACCCTAAAAAATATTCATGCTACGGCTTAAAAAATTCATACAAGGAATTTGATAACGAAAAAAAATTCCTGCGGTTCAAAAATTTCCCTCCCCCCCCATAACTTTTCTAATGGTCCGTCCCTTACGTAAATGTAAGGGAAGTCAAACAATAGACATCTCTGCAATTAGTTTCCTAGCGGTCGGGAAAATGTAAACAAAATCCCTTCTGTTAGTAAACTTTTATACTTCCAGGTATATATCTTGAAAATGGTTCAGATGGTTGGCGGTTTTCTCCCACATTCTACAAATATGATTTATTTTATCTGACTGTTGCCTCAGTGATGCGTGGCATGAAAAAAGACTGATGATTGGGGATGATTAATTCAAATTAAATTATTTAGTCTCACCAAAGTCTTTTCAAAATGCTAATGCGTAGTTATTTGAAGAAGTTTACGCTCTAGTAATTTACATTTCGTAAAGGAACCAAGATAATAGCGCCAAAAAGAACACAAGTTTATTTAAACCACGACATAGGTGGTTTACAAAGGATCTCTCTTGCGACTTAAGGTGGCTCGACTGGATTTTTTGGGGTTGATACCTCCCAACTTTGAGCATTAACTACGTCGGCATAAGTAAAGATATGGAAAAAAGGTTACCACAACTGTATTATATAAAGATGAAAATTTCTTATGACCTGGGTTTTATTGCAATCGGAGTCGCCATGGCAACGTAATGACGCCATTACATTTTTCATTTATCTTTGTGTTTCTCTGTTCCAGGAGTTTTTTGATGAAATCGCTTAAGGGAGTATGTACCTGCTATAATTGCCTCCATTATGGCGTAGTTTGAACAAATTCTATGAGAGCGTTTTTCGAAATATTTTGAAATGTAGTTTTAAGAATGATAAAAACAGTGAAATAGCATGCTAGCCACACAATTCGCTAAAATTTTAAGAAAATGATAAGCTTTGGGAACGAGGCTTCATCTCATAGTGGTTTGACTCCATTGGAAACTGCATCCAAAAAAAGAGGGGAATTGCTCCGGGCGATCGCGAGTAAGAAGAATTTTATTAACTTGCATTCAGCTGCTTTTGATACAGTTTTTGGACGTAATTTGGTCAACGCCTAAGAATTTCGCATTTTTCCAAAAACCGCTCGATAAATTTTTTTATAAATTCGACAATCCCGAGATCAATCGTCAAGAAATATTCCCTGCAAGTTTCAAGAACATTGAAAATAGGGAAGGCTTTTAAATAGGGCCTCAAATATAACCAATTTTCCCCCCAAATTTTGTGTTTACAAGTGAGCGTCCTCATTATTCACTGGCATTGTTTTCAAGTTTCATATGCACGTGCACAACCAGCAAAAGATATAAATTTACATAAAAAAGAACTCTCGATTACTTTCCGAAGAAATATCAGGAATATGCTAATAGTTGGCTTGTCGTAACAAATAGCAGTGAGAGCCGAAACGGTGAACGTCACGGCTCATCGCGTAGGATGGAATACTTAATTATCTTACTCGGGTTATAACATCACAGAAACTATCACAAAGAGTTGCTCTGATGTTATAATGTATCATTAATCTCTTTACCCGGTAATTCGCATATCCCGAAGATTTAACCGAGGGTCCTTTCTGATGCAAATTCTATCTTTTTGCTAAATGTGCAGGTGTATATGAAACTTGAAAACAATGCCAGTGAATAATGAGGACGCTCACTTGTAAACACAAAATCTAGGGGGAAAATTGGTTATATTTGAGGTCCTATTTAAATGCCTTCCCTATTTTCAATGTTCTTAAAACTTGCAGGGAATATGTCTTGACGATTGATCTCGGGATTGTCGAATTTATAAAAAAATTTATCGAGCGGTTTTTGGAAAAATTCGAAATTTTTAGGCATTGACCAAATTACGTCCAAAAACTTTATCAAAAGCAGCTAAATGCAAGTTAATAAAATTCTTCTTACTCGCGATCGCCCAGAGCAATTCCCCTCTTTTTTCGTATGCAGTTTTCAATGGAGTCAAACCACTATGAGATGAAGCCTCGTTCCCAAAGCTTATCATTTTCTTAAAATATTAGCGAATTGTGTGGCTAGCATGCTATTTCACTGTTTTTATCATTCTTAAAACTACATTTCAAAATATTTCGAAAACGCTCTCATAGAATTTGTTCAAACTACGCCATAATGGAGGCAATTATAGCAGGTACATACTCTCTTAAGCGATTTCATCAAAAAACTCCTGGAACAGAGAAACACAAAGATACATGAAAAACGTAATTACGTCATTACGTTGCCATGGCGACTCCGATTGCAATAAAACCCAGATCATAAGAAATTTTCATCTTTATGTAATACAGTTGTGGTAACCTTTTTTCCATATCTTTACTCATGCCGACGTAGTTAATGCTCAAAGTTGGAAGGTATTAACCCCAAAAAATCCAGTCGAGCCACCTTAAGAGCAACGGTGTGAAAGAGGGACTCTAAAAACGTCGCTACAAAATTTCTCTTAACGAGGAAGTATATTTATTGAGGACTTCATATTGGAGCTGTTTATCACGAAGATCATATCTTATGCTGATCTGTTTGTGCCTGATCCTTTTACAAGTTGATTACAGAAAGCTTCTTTTCACTGTCTTTGCCCCTGGCGTTTGCGACGAGCACAAATAGAATTTAGAGGCAAGTGTTTGGTTTATTTTTTGAGGTTTTTGGTGTACCTATTGCCGCCTGGAGTCTAAGATTACAACTTATAATTTGCTGCTTTCATCCACAGATCTGTAAACAGCTGGAGCAGTCTTTGCAGCAAGAAGTCGGCGGGACACTATGAAAAGATGAAACCCGACATATCTAGAGCGAGACGTCCTCGTCTGATGTTCATCCTGCTGGTGGTGGTGTTAGCTTCTTTGAGATTTGAAAGTAAGTAATTTGATAAAATCACATGAATAGACTTAGTTAGAGTACTGAGGTCCGTGTGATCCTTTGGTTTACATACTAATGCCGTGTTTAGACTTGAGCGTGCTACCGAGGTATTGGAGTTAACTTACCTAGGTAAATATTTTGCGTGTGTAAACGCCAACTGATACCCTGGTAAACACCGCTGAAGACAATAGAAAGTTAACTAAGGTAAAAGTTCGGTTTGCCCTGCGAAAAGGCATGGTTAAGGTCGGTAACCAAGGTTTGGATGACAGATACATCCGCTTGCGGTCGCGTAGAATTTCAAATCCTGTGGTGTCGGGATTGCGTCAGGCTCATTCGATCACGTTTTCGAGACCAGGTTTTCGAGACTAGGTTTTCGACCAGGTTTCCACGTTTGGTTTCGGTCTACGAAGAAGTTATGGCAAAAACCAAAGACACAAAAGACACACCATTCTTCAACAAAATTTCCGTTTAATAGAGTTTCGAACCAGAATTGGTTTCTCGGCCACGACCACGCACGTCTAACGCGCCTTGTCTTGCGAAGGGCAATTTGTAGCAGAATTAATCGCTTTCGCCTGGACCTCTTTAGGTGCTGCAAAAGTAAGAGCTGCTGCAAACTCGATTCCTGGGTTTGCTGATCAAGAACAAGAAAATAAAACGCGAGGACTACAAGAGCCACAGCTTCTCTTTTAAACGCGAGCATTTATGCGTGGATTTAGAATTTGCCGCCAATTCGATTAGATTGTGATTGATGACAGACTTACCTTAGTTATTTGAGCCCGTATAAACACGGTACAAATGTACCAGGGTTTAGTCAGTTAATGTTTACCTTGGTAAACGCTTGAGTGTAAACACAGCATATATGAACATTATGAGTACTTATGTTGTTATAGGGAAACCTGTTTGCCAGCATCTTGTAGGCCATTTCCAGTATTGAAGTGTTTCGAGAAATATTCATAAGCAGAATAATATGTGTACATGTACCTATATTTGTGAGTGTGAATATATCGTAACGCTCAGTATTGATGAAAGCGCTTAAATTTTTCAGCTTTAGACACTTAATCGCGAATAGAGAGCAACGCAAGAATCGAGGAAGACAATTTTACAAGGAATTAAAGTTCAAGACTCGAATTAATGTGCCAGGTGTTAAGACTGGTAGCATTTTTTCCTCTTTACTTGCTTAAACAACCTGTCACCATTTTCCGCAATGTCTTGAAAGGTTTGGACACCGTTTTACTGATAATTTAAAAGCTTCGCAATTTGTTACTTTATATGTAGTCTTCGTTGTCTCAATTTCGCTGTATCATTGTCTTGAGGTGCTAAAGAGGTGTTAAAATTTAGTTACGTAATGGCTCGGTTAACAGTTCAAAACCCGGCCCAACATAAATTCAATATAAAAAACTTTCTCTTTTTTCTGAGGGTATTATATATTCAAAAGAAGACGGCAAACATTAAGATCCAACAGTTGAAGTATATGAACAACTCAGTTAATAAAACTCTACAAGTTAGCTTTGTATCAAGACTACTATTCTCCGCGAGAATTCTTCTGCTGACAGCTGTAGGAAGGGTAGCAAATCGTCGCGAACAGCCTTTCACTTGGAGGACCATACATGTCCCCGTGGACAAATTTGCTTTTTATATACCTTCTTTTAAACTTCTCTCTCAAGACTATTACATTCAATGTATATTTTGGGAATAATTCAATGTAGGTAAAACTACTGTCTCGCATGGCTGCCTTGTGTTATGTTGGCCATAGAACTGATCTTCCACCTGACCAGCATTTTTACTCGGAGACAAGATCAATATCGCTTAAACCGGACCATTTTGCGAGTTATCTGATAGAGAAACCCGCGTACATGTAATAGTTTAGACTGCTTCTGATGGTCATTTCCCCTTTAATTAAAACACGACAGATTTTATTTCCTTCACAAAGGGGTACAGCTTTGAAGATGCAATTCAAACGAGCCTTTTGGCAAGTTGTTTTGACGTTACTAGAGGGTTGCTAGGAAACAAATATTTTTATAAAAAATTAATTGTAGCTCGCTTTTTCTATCCATCTCCTTCCTAGAATTAAATCAATCTTTAAAAAACGGTTTTGGGAATTTAGGATATAGTAAGCGTATTAAAGGTTTACTGTTTTAATCCTGGATAAGGGTTCTGTTGTGTAAGATTAAAACATCTGCCTAGCGTTAACGCGCATTGAGAATAAGATTCGTGAGAAATCGTGAGCATTCCGGCCAAGAGTACAGACAACGAATTGAGTTTACTAGGGTCCTACCGGGTCAAAGTAATTTACCGAAACTTCCAATAAATTTAAAAGCAATAAAAGAGACTGAATGTTTGTCCATGGTTGAAAGGACCGATATAGAAATTAGTTAATTTCTTGACGGGCAGTCATTACTGTATTTTTCCGTGCGCGATATCGGTTATCTTTATCACTGATCGTTTTTACCTTGAATCAGGAGCACCCAAAGACTGTTTTCTGTAAAATATCTGTTCGGAGGAGCAAATATGGCCTAGAATTTTCTATTGCTTGAAAAATGCTCAAAATTTCTAGAAGACCTTTCCATTCATGTTTAATTTTCGAAGCTTATCTAATACTTTTCCTTACGATTTTATGAAGTTTAGTTTTTCACGTTTCATTACTCAGGTTTGGCTATTTTTCATACAAAAAAAGGAAACCTAAAATTTTCGAATTCAAAAATGTGATGAAGAAAGGAATCAGAAAAATTTTCACTTTCGTAACACGATAATTTGCATTTTAAATTTTCGGGAAACTAACACTGAAGCCCTTGTAACATCGAAAAGACTTAAGTTCCCCTAGGATGACCAACCAGACAGAAATTTTATAGCGCCACTTGGAATGCATTTCTAAAGATCTAAAAGTACTCTGGATAGCCTAAAAAGTCAAGTTTTAATGTATTTGGAGGAGACGGTCGATGGGTACTCTTGTTGAATACGCGCTTTAAAACGCAAGTCAGTCGCACAAGAAGTTATCCGTGCGTTTGACCGCAAGCGCGACCGTGAATGAGAACCGCGTAAAACTATCGCATATGACGAACCTAAACACTAATGAACAAGAACAATAGTTAGGTTCCGCTTATGTGATGTCCGACGTTTAATACAGGCCCGTGTCAGCAATATTTACTTTTCCTGTTCCAGAGTATTAGTATAAATATAAGTCTGTCGCAGCGTCCATTTTCAAGCTTATAAACTGCACTATGTTTCATGCAACGTACGAGAATAAGGAGGGTTTCCACACTGTATCTCTGTATAAATAAATACATAAAATAAAATAAATAATTAAATAACGATTTGGAGGTAGCACATCCACATAGTTGTTCTTCGTCTACCTGATTCCTGGTCGAATTGGAATTAGGACAACGCATAAACATCATTTAACGTATAAATGTTCATGATTCTGTTCATGTATTAGGATTTAGTTGCCATTTAACTGCACTTCAATTCTTGTTTGCTCCCGAATTGTGACAGGCACTCATTAGCCTGCATAACAGGCGCTTTGCAAGCCAAGTGAGGCGAACGCGAAATTTTGCGCGAAGCTCGAGACGAGCACCATTTTTTATTCTCCCCTCGTCTCGCGCCTTCCGCTCGTTTCGCGCAAAATGCCGCGTTCGCTTCTCTTGGCTTACAAAGCGCCTGTTGTGCAGACTAATTTTACTACACTTCAATTCTTGTTTGCTCCTGAATTGTGGCAGGCACTCATTTCAGGCGCTGCTCTGTTATCGTTTCTCTCAGTTCGAGATTGATGAAACGCATTTTTTCTAGTATTATAAACTTAAAAGTTACCCTGACAATCTGCAAACCTCAGCTCATCCTCAGTGCAAAAAATTGTTTAACTCACAAGTGACGTAAAACAAACGAAATAAAGAAGTCAACACAATAGAAACTAGAAAAAAAAAAAGTGGAAAAAAAAGAAAAAGGTTCTTTCACCGAGGTAAACCCCAAAATTCAACAAAAATCCAAGGTCATTTGTCAAATAGGGATAGTACAACATGAACGTACCGGCCAGGAGGTTTGATTTGGATAGTCATAACTACAGAGGATATCCTTATCCTGTTCCTTCGTTGGGTTGCTCGTAATGCACTTGACGGTCCTGGAGGGATTGCTATTGCTTCTTAAATTAGAAGTACGGTCGTGGGGGGCGAACATTTGGGGAGCTGTGGTTCGTTTCCTCCAGTCACTCTTCGTGACATCTTACTCCTCCACTGCAAACTCCAAAGGAACTACTATATTGTATCAGTCCAGAAGAATTGTATGCATCTGCACGCGGACAGAATTTTCATATTATAACTTTTTCAGTCTAGTAGCTTAAAAGTAAAATGGAGGTTCTTTATTTCGATCTCCTTATTTTTGCTTGAGCAATTGCTGTTACTGAACTGAATCCTGACTGAAATATGAATTGTTGTTGATTTTCCCTTGAAGGCTGTCACGCTCAGACAAATCAAACAAAGATTGAGCAAACTCTCATAAAGGCTTTGTTTAAAAATTACGACTCTGAAGGAAGACCAGTCTTGAACTTGTCGGAACCTGTTTTGGTGAAGTTTGGAATAGCATACAGTAATCTTCACAGTTTGGTAAATGTCTGCTTCTTCGTTCAACCTCACTCAAATCCCGGTTTACAATCACCAGCTAGAAATCAGGAAGTTGTCATGAGTATTTAGGCAACCAGGCTATCCTTTTCCAAAGTTTGCTTGTTTGCTAGTATCATGGTGTTTTACTTATTTATAGTTGTTTGTAACTTTGGTAGTAAAAAAGAGTACCAGCGGTGAGACGATTATGTGTAAAAATGATAAAAATATATTCAGTGACCTAAACATGTGTTGCAGTGGCACTAATCTTGCTTTATAATTTAGAATTGTCGTGTTTCACGTTCCACTATTCGACTGCCCCAAATTAAGAAGTCAGCGTTGTTGAGGCGTACCTAGAGAAATTTTAAAACTCAATGTACTATTCGGATGCTTGTTTTTCTTCCCCACCACTCCCCCCACCCTCTCTCCCCCCTCCTCTCTAGCGCCACCTTCCTTCCTTCTATATTTGCTTAAATGCAGTCGAACTTTGACTGCGATCTGAGAAGAGAAATTGGCAAAAGTAACCCCACTGCTACTTAGCTTGATACTTTACCAGTATGTTGTAGATTTACCAAATACGTTGGAAGTTACCAAAAGAATCCTTTTAATAGAAACTATGTATTGGGTGTTTCCATCATGGCAAACCTTTATTTTGGCGTTGTGGGTGGTTTATTGATTGTTTTGAGAAACATAAAAACTGTAGACTTTTTGGCGACGTTTTTAAAAAACAATCTTAGTCGGAAGAGAAGCATTTTAACGAAAAGAATCTCATTATCTTGGCAAAATCTATCCAGATTACTAACCAATCTCTGTATAAATTCTTGCCCATGTTTCCACTTCATGCTCAATTAAAACTCAGAAAAATAAAGCAAAATGCCTGAGCTATTTGACCACACCCATCAATCATTAAATTACACTTTGCGGCCGTGTTTCCTAGATTTTTACCTGTTTTGGAAAGCCTAGCTATGAGAGTTACGCCCTTTGAACTTTAGGCTTGTTCCAGACTCTTAAGTCATTTATTCGAATCGTTAGATTGAAAACCTTTCTATTTCACCTGCATATAGGTTCAGCTGTTGCCTTAAATGAAAACACTTTCGCCTTAACTAGTTGCAAAAATATATTCAGCAAAGGCACGAAGAAGGTCCCTTTTTTGGACTAAAACATATTTTATCAAAAATAATCAAAAGAGTGCTGTCATTTACGTACACAAAAACAACAGCAAGAATAAATAGAATGGCGGTAATCAATTTGTTTCGCCGATGGGTGCCAGCCCTAATTTATGATCAATTTAGTCATACTTTCCTTTTTTTTTTTTAATTAAATGTTGTTTCCTGGTTATTGTTCTTACAAGCTTTACTGTGTGTTATCTGCGTGACTTTCCTGTTTTTTAGGTTGATCAAATGAATCTAATTTAGTGAAGCCCTGGAAGGCAATTTTTACTGCAATAAAATAAAAACAACTCTTCTTGATAAATTTGCTGTTCAAAGGCAGGGAAAGTTTAAATTAACTATAAAGAATTAGCACCCCTACTCAAAGACGTTCCCGCCTTCTCTAAAATATTTAAGCAATAGACCACACTTTCTATGGGTTTACCGGCGTGATAACCCACTTGGGATGTTGGGAGAACACGAGAAAAGCTTGTAAATCACGAACCGAAGGTGACTGATTTACAGAATGATGATAGAATGATGATCAGAGAAAGAATTCCCAATGTAAACACCCTTTTTTATCTTTCTTAGGATGAGAAAAATCAAGTTTTAACAAGTAACGTGTGGATAAGACAGGTTGGTCAAGTAAACTTCGAAGCTAATAGACAGATGATTAGTAAATTACATAGCTTTCGTCGTTTCTCTGGAACTGATTTGGGATATTTATCGATAAAAGCTGATCTCAGAAATTTACCTCAAAAATACTGAGAATGATTTTCTTGGATTTAAGTGGGCTTCATTTAAATCAGTTTTGCAATAATCTATTTATTCCAGTCAAATCGAATTTTCAAATATTATTGCTGAATAATAACCACGACTTTTCCAAAGGTTATCTAGCCATGGACATAAAGCCGAAAAAGTTATGGGTCAAACCTTGTCATAGATAGCTATTAAATGGCCATCTGCGTGAGAGGCAATTTTAGAGGTGGACACTTTTGCCACGCGAACTTGGTAACGGAATTTTACGATTCCTCTTTAACAAACTATATTTTCGTACCCTTCCTTTACATCTGGGGCAAGGCGTTGTCACGGACTAGTAATCCATTTAAGGGGTTGGTGGGTCGCATAAAGGCGCCTTATACCATCCAACCAGTTAGCGCACCGTGGCCGAATTATAACTCTTAACTTCTTATTGTTAATCATTGCAGCAATGGCACGATCCGTGGTTGTCTTGGGATCCTGCAAAGTACAATGGACTTAAATCCATCAACATCAGTCCTAATCTGGTTTGGAAGCCCGACATTATTCTTTATAACAGGTTAGGAAACGCACATGTATATTGTATATTGTCCAATACGCGATGCAGACATGCAAGGTAAGGTAAGGTATGGCTGAGAGCTGCTCATTCCGTGTCCAAAAGAGCATTTTTTGGAAGTCGAAGGCAGAAGCTGGTCATCCGGATTCAAAGAAGCAATTATTTTAGTAGAATACGAGGTATTTTTACTGTTAATATTGTATGCTTATATTGGCATTTTTTTTCTTTCAAAGCGAAAACTCATAAGAGTTGATTTGTAACTTCTTTGCATTGGTTAGAAGATTATTGTTTCGAGTTCGCGGTTAGTTTGTAACGGGTGCTCCACTATTAGGTTCGGCTAAATTTGTATATTATTTATTTCCCACAGCGTCAACGAGGGAGGAGATCGCGGTGAACAGTACCTATTCGACACCAAAGTTATCGTCAGCAGTGATGGAACAGCCACGTGGTTCTCTCCTAATCTCATCCAAAGCTCCTGCAAAATCAATGTCCGATATTTTCCTTGGGATACACAAACTTGCAAACTCCAGTTCGGCTCGTGGGCATTTGACGGGTTAAAACTTGACATCGTTTTCTATGGAGATGCTCCAAGGGCAGATCTAAGCTCCTTCATTCGGAATGGAGAATGGAACCTACTGTCGGCTGAGGGGAAGAGAAACGTTCTTTACTATAGTTGTTGCCCAGAACCTTACCCTGATCTCACGTTCGAAATCAGAATCCAACGACGAACATTGTTTTACATAAACAACTTGGTTGTTCCTTGTGTTGTTTTGGCACTTCTCACAGCAACAGCGTTTCTGTTTCCGCCGGAAACGGGCGAAAGAATCTCGCTGATGATCACTATTCTATTGGGAATGACTGTATTTAGGATTGTAGTGGTGGAAGCCATACCTTCCACATCCGAAGTCACCCCACTTATCAGCACTTACTTCTCTATGGTCATGGTGGTGATTTCCTTGGGTCTCCTGTGCACGTGTATCTGTCTCAACCTTGAACACCATCACCCTAAAATGGAGCTAACCGGTTGGTGCCGGTATATCCTGTTTGACCTGATGGGACCTGTTTTGAGCAGGAGCTCGGTGAAGAGACTCAAAAGAAAACAACAGGAATACAACAGAGAAATTAAACTCAGCGCATGTTATTTGAAAGAAAACCAAGTCGCACCAGAAGAAGATAAAATTGCTATGACCGACGTTTCGCAGACCGAAATTAAGAACGTGAAAGTGGTTGGGAAAGAAATAAAAGTCGCGGGCATGGATAAAGTGACCAAGTTCATCGATAAGTCGTTATCTGAAGACAGAAGAAAACTGGAATGGCACATTGTCGTGAACATAATTGACAATTTCTTTTTCGTTGTTTTTCTTCTCACTATTACGGTTTCCTCACTGATAATTTTGATGGCGAAAACCGACAGCTAAAAGCAGATTTTTTTTAATGATTATCCATGTACGCAGGGTTTTTAGTAACAAAGGCGTGGTGTTTAGACGACGATTTATAAATCTTCAATTCAGTAGGCATATTATATATTAGATTAAAATCCCAGCCTCACTGCTCGCTGGGCACAAGGAAGTTCCCGATTACAGTAATATCGTCATCGTCACCATCATCGCGATTATCATCATCATCATCATCATCATCATCATCATCATCATCATCATCATCATCATCATCATCACCATCCCAATCATTTGTTTTGGAGGACAAGAGGTGGAGAGCGTGGAAAAAGCTTGTAAACCATTATTCTCCAACAATTTTCTGCCCACGTGAAAGAATTTTCCAGACTCAACCTTAGAGATGGAACTATGCTTGTACTTTTGAAAACATGATTATGTTCAAAGTGTTGTATCGTGGAAATATGTAATCAGAGCTATAGCTGTACTTAAAGCTTCTCTTGTAAACCCGGCTATATTCAAAGTGTTATACACAATTTATGGCAATGAACCGTAGAAATATGTAATCATTATTTGATTATTGAAGAAATAAGGACGATTAACTTCATATACATAACAGTCACTGTAAATTTAAGGTAAATAAAAGAAATAAATGCAAAAAAGAAAGTTCAAATCAGAGATAATAATAACTGTATTATTAGCATAAGGTTGTGTATTCCAAATTGACCACGGTCAAACGAATTAAATTTGCGAAATTAAAATAAAATACTTTAAAGCCAATAAAAAAATACAAGCATGTTCTGCACATGTAATCAGAACCAGCAGATGTAACACGAAAGTTGAAAGATTCATTACCCTTCAGTCAGGGGCGTAGCCAGCCCATAGACCTGTACGTTCGCGCCTACAATTTTTTTGGTTTGATCACTCTACCGATTGTAACAAATTATGCATTGTTGTGGTGAGCTAAAAATCTTAAGAGCTCAAAGTGTTGGTGAGGTCAGTGCGTACTACTCACACATGCAATTGTCAGGATATATGGAAAGCTGGCTACGCCCCTGGCTACAAAATTACGAGTTGATCCTACGATCTTCCCACAGTCCATGCAGTCACCCTGCTAGCAGATCCTTTCTTTCCCTTGCTCGATTTTGGCGGACTCGAGAAAGAGTCTGTATTTAATCGAGTAAGATGTTTGTTGAGCATACGCTGAATGTTGCTTGGATACAGTTTCGAACCCAGGCCTGATAGCCGTGCTATAAATACCAGCAAGTCCACAGTAACAAACCATTGAGTGGCGCCGGATCTCCTGGTTGTAGACCTGGATCAGTATAATAATAACTTGTAGAAAATATAAAACGGCAAACTGATCCTTACGGCAAGGTAATGAAGAAGTAACAAAAGAATAAAACAAAAAATAGTCTAGCCGGATTTTTGAAAACGTTATCGCCAAATGGACCGTTTCTTCCGTCCAACAGTTTTTTTGGCCAAGAACTATCTCCAAAGTAGCCATTATAAAAACTATGAGTGAAACCATTGCTTTTTTCTCTTCTCCTCCTTTCTTCCTCCTCTCTCTTTCTTTTTCGCCATTGCTTTTCCTTCGTTAGTGTGATTTTGGAGCTTGTCGAACCCTTATCGGGCTTAAGAAACCTGTCTTTTGACGCCTTTTCACGCAAATCGCTGCAAGTTTTGTTAGGTGGTTTTCATAAAATCAGTTAGTTAGATATATTTCAAAAATTGTGCCCGATATTTCGGTTTCAAAGGCAAACCTTCTTCAGTGGCGAACAGAAAAATAACCATGCGCTTGGTACAAGGGGCTCAGTTATGGTCATCGGTTTATCAATAAATGGATGCTCGCGCTCGAAAAACCAGTTTGACCAGACTGACTAGTCCAGTAGTTCGGGCTAAGGTGATTTCAAAGCCTTGACGCGATTCAGGTGGATCCTCCCGTTCTTCCTCGATCAAGAATAAGGCAAAAGAAGGATCTGCATACAGGGTGAGTCCATACAAGTTGAAACAAAAAGCAGAATCCATGCAAAACTAGGGGAGCAGTTAAAATGGGGTGGTTAGATTTGTTGAGATTCATCGCGTCTTCCAAACGCATCAAGAACCAACTTTTCGATTATATTACTAAGCCAATCCGGTCATTTGATTTCGCGCAACCAGTATCGGGAGGAATCTTTGCCGGGCTTAAAATATTCCAGTTAATCACGTTAACCGGGCCAGCGGGGCTTTAACCGTGCAATAAGCAAGTTACCATTATAGTTTTTCCTCAGCGAACTAAGTCACCATAAATAGCACAATTATTCCTCCTCCCGTAAACTTTTCAGACAGCAGCATACCGCGGAAAGGTGATAACAACTGTTCGGAGCATTTCTCTCCAAGGTGCAATTTAAAAGTCAGTCAAGACCTTCCCGCCAAACTTTCCCCAAGGGTCTGTTCTAGGGCCGTTTTTATTTATTATTTTTGCAGGATGAGAGAATGCGTATAAGCGAATTTTTGTTTAAATTTTTGCCTCATTAATATATGCTCTCTTCTAAAAACTCGAAATTTTACAGAGAATGTATGGCTCATTAACTTTTTTGCCAAACAGCAATTTCGCAGTTTTTGATGGCTGATATTTCCTTCAATACTGCTTGCAAATAGCTGATGATGGAATAAATTGCTCAACTTAATTAGCTCTTTCAACTTTTGCATTTAGTTCATATATACGGCCACGGATTCTGTGAGTTAAGTGGTGTGCTAATGAGGAAAAATGTAAACATTGACGTCAACGAAGATTGCGCGGTTTTACACAAAAGAAACTACAAACGCGAGATTGCAAACGCAGACCACGTTATGAGCTACAATAACAATGCCAAAATTTCGTCACCATAGATAAAACCACGCAGAGATATAAACAATTTGGACAGAAAAAATGATCTTTCCCGTCGTATCTATCGAAGTAAATTAGTGCTTGAAGCTCCAGCGATGATTCCGGTCTTTTCTATGCTGGTAAGGATAGTTAATTTATACAGACTGTTTTGCTTTAAAAGTTCTAAGAGACTTGGTCTCCTTGGAAGGATCAGAAAGTTTTTCTCAAGAAACCTTTGAAATCTTGCATAAGACACCTATTCAGCGTCTGTATTTAATATTATTGTGACATTGGCTAGCCTTAAGCTGACAAATCCAGCCTTGAAAGGCTTCTTAGATTGCAAAAGCGGGGTGCTCGCCCCTTTTACTTTCGAAAGTTGGAGAGGAAGAACTTGGTCCCAATGTTTGGTGATGAGCTAAACTGGTGCTGTTATGGTGCTGCCTTTGGAAGGATCTTGATGAACCGGGCCCCACTTTCTTTTTAGAGGCAAAATTTAAGCCCGTAAGGTAGAGAAAAAAAATTGTTTTCAAGGGCGGGCCTCCCTCTTATCTCACGGTCTGGATGAGTGGGGGCCCCCACTTGCCAAAAGCACAAGATTCATCTCTATGGTAAAAATTATAATAAAGAATTTGACATGCTGAAGTACAAAACGCCATAAATTAAAGAGGTGCGGTATCATGCTGGATCCACGAGTTATTCTTGGTCAAAAACCGAGGAAGCAGGCTTTAAATTCGCCGAGATACTTCTTATGGGCCGGAGAGCGGGACCACGCTCCTTACCATGCCCAGAACCGCAAGCTGTGGCAAATGTTTGCCAGCAAATTTCGAAAGCGATCGCTAAGAGATACAAAGAATTTGGTCCACAACAGCTGAATCAACCAATGACTCGATCCATTCCTTCACTTTGGCAGCGCCACTTCATAGCATGCCTAACGTAACGTTATGCTCCTTTTGGTGAGGATGTTTATGAGACGAAAAATTCAGTGATGTGTGTATTGTGATTGAATGCCACTGTTTAATACGGTTAAATGAAAGTAATTAACTATGAAAGGAAAAGGGTTATACACTGAGGCTTAGAGTCATTCCCAAGGGCCAAAATTAAATCCACGGCTGAATACCCTAAAAGAATGGAGCACGAGTGACAATGTAATATGACTGTTTCACATCAAATGACTACTGACATAATCGTCCATAGTTGCCATGGCACCAAGCGCACTTTTTTTATGTATTTGCACTCATAATATAGCGGTGGTCAGAGGAGCTTAGCTTTCGAGCTAACCACCGTACACTTCTATCCAAGCCATTAATTTTCTTTTTTCCTTCTTCTTCTTCTTTATTAGAGTATTCCTACCTTACTTATATAATGTAAATATTTTATAAAAGTGTGAATAAAATTGAATTGACTTGACTTGAATTGCTTTTGATGATATCACGTAAACTAGTCAGTATTCGTTAAATGACGAATAGAAATTTTTATTAACTCTAAACGTGAGAGTTTAAGTTAAATTTCACTTCCAACTGTACCATAAGCCGATATTTCGTTTAGGTCAGTCAGTTCTATTTTCAGTCCTCTTTGCAATGATATGCGAATTCCGTTGGAAGCAAAGATTTCAATGTTTTTTTTTTGATCCGCAAGGTCATATTTAGCCTTTCTTTTAGTAGAGAGATAAATTTTGCATAGAAGAAACAATCACAAAAAGTAGCGTTCTTAAGACAAAAGTTAGACGAAAAGATCGTGCTAACTTGCAAACCGCAGAATACTATGATAATTATTTTACTCCGCTACTCTCTACACGTCTGACGTAAAGTATCTCAAATTAATTCGGGTACTATACGGTCACACAAACGTTATATATTGGGGATATAGAAAATGTCAGTGACTTTATCTTCTGCTATGTGATAAAAAGAAGCTAGAACATAACCTTTATTACGTTTTGACAAAAGTGAAGCCCCTCTGCGAGCGAATTCAAAGGCGGAAAAGAAACTACTGACAAAGGTAGCACGTGGCAGTAGAATTGCTGTCGACGTGTCACTGGTCATATTCTCTTTTTGAAATTTTAAAGTGACTCTGCACACCTTCAGCTAAGGCTTGAAAGTGCCAAACCACAAGAATATACAGTTGCAAGAACTCTACAGTATATGGCTAAAAAATTCACGTATTCAAAATTTAAAACGAAGCCCAAATATTTCCGTCAGACTAGGACAGCAAACATTTTTTCTCTATAACAAGCAGGTCAAACAGCTATGCGACGGGGGCCTTCTGAGAAGCAAAAAAGGCATGAAATGCAGTTTCAAATTTGAGCCATGAAACGAAGCATGACCGTTTTAACAAAACATGCGTCTTTGGCACCGCAGAGCACTGAGCTCCTTTCAATTTTCTTAGAGCCCAGCCTTGCAACACCTTTGATGAATGGCGTTTTTTCACTAAATTGCCTAATTTTGTCTTAAGGCACCCGCATTCATACGAGAGAGTTTGATGTTTCTTGACAGGACGCCCGGCCTCAGTTACACTTCAATAGAAACCTTGACCGTTCGTGTTAGATGTGGTCACTACTTAAGCAGTGTAAAATACGGCACGGTTTTCTGCCCTTCAATATCGCTTTCTCTATAGGCGAGCTGGCTATTGAAACTTGCCCGCAATCAATTAAGCCTTTTCCATTACCATTCTGACCTTGACATTGCTACAGGTCACTTTGTCACGCCTGGACAGTCTGCATTAAGCACGCGTCCAGTTCCCTTTGTAGGCATTAGTATTGAACCTAGAAAAGGTCAGGGTGAGGCGTTCCCTTTGGCAGTCGTACATGACGATGGAAGCGATCAGTTTAGCGATCAATTCTTGGGTGCTTTTTGCCGTTACCGTTGCCTTTCTTTGGTGTCTACTATTTCGACGGCAAAAGCCAGCGAATTATCCACCAGGACCATGGGGTTTACCTATCGTCGGAAATTTGCCTCATCTTGGCTCCTCACCGCACATAGCGTTGACCAAGTTGAGCAAGGTCTATGGTGATGTGTTTTCCGTGAGGTTTGGTTCGAGAGACGCTGTCGTATTGAACAGTGAGAAAGTAGTCAGAGAGGCGTTGTTGCAACGTCATCGACAGTATTCCAACCGACCTTCACTTTTCATGATGAATGTACTTGGTGTTCAGAAATTCAGCATTGCTTTTGGAGAATATTGCCCTATTCAGGTTCAGAGAAAAAGGTGCGCCTTGAGAGCAATCCACGAAACTGTCTTCAGCGACCTGGATCATTTCAACAAAATTGTTCAAGATGTGTTTAAAGTTTTTGAAAAGGAGCAATTCCAGAAAGGAACCGAAATCTTTCAACCATCCGTTCAACTGAAGATGGCTGTGAGCAAAATAATGTTTAAGTTTACCTTTGGAGAGGATCCTCGCGACCACTTGTTGTCGAAAGAACTGGAAAGGATTGCTGTCGAGTCAACAGAGTTTACAGAGAGCGGTACTGCTGGCGCTCTTGTAGATTTTATCCCCTCGTTGAAGCCTTTTCTTCGCAAGCAGATCGCAATAGCCGAACACTCGGTGGAAGAATTGATCAACTTCGTCCACAAGGTTTATACCTCCCGTAAACATCTCCTAACGAGTGATTCTTGCATTGCCTTGTGCATTAAGAAACTTTTGGAAAACTTACTAAAGAAATATAGTGGAGACCCGAAAATGTATTCAAACACGCTTAACGAGCAGAGCTACCCATTACCTCAAAGTAAGTCGTGTAATATAAGCGACGAAGAAATGGCCAAACTGATATCTGCTGATATATTTGGAGCTGGGCTGGAAACGGTTGGCAACGCTTTGTGTTGGGCAATGGGCTTTATAGTAAACAATCAGGAGATTCAACAAGACCTTCATCGAGAGTTGGACAGAACTGTGGGGCGACATCGTCTTCCGAACATACAAGACAAGCCAAATATGCCTCTTCTTCAAGCAACTGTACTGGAGGTACTTCGCATTTCGTCCGTGCTACCCACTGCTTTGCCTCATGAAACTTCTGAAGATGCAACCCTTGGCAGCTACAAAATCCCAAAGGGGACCCTCGTCGTTGTTAACCTATGGGCAGTGAATCATGACCCTCGCGTCTTTGACAATCCGCACGAGTTCAATCCTTACCGATTCCTGGATGGAAATGGAGCTCTCTGCGAGAAAAAGAGCAGGCTGCAAATGCCTTTTTCAATTGGCAGCCGACGTTGTCTGGGAAGCACGCTTGCTAAAGCTGAAATATTTCTGCTCCTAGCTTGCCTCTTGCATAAGTATCAGTTTTCAAGCCCGAATGGAAGCAACATTGACTTAACAGGCCGTTTTGGATTCACTTGGAGTCCAAACCCCTTTAGTATTCGTATCCGCATCCGTTAGAAAAGTAATCTCCAAGACCATATCTTCAAGAATGGAAGAAATCGCTCAGAGAACACTTACTGCCCTGCAAGGGGTAGTTCTGTTGCACTCACTAGAATAAAACCGTGGGTTAGTCTGGCAATTTCCAAGGTTGTCAGGTCTTACTGTACACTGATTGTCATAACACTGCGTTGGCCAAGATAACCAAAACCTTCATTTGAGTGGATTTGGAAAATCACGCAAATAAACAAACATTTCTCATAAGTACTTTAGGCTACCCTATGAATTTTGGAGGAACTAAAATCAATGGATTCGTTTTCAAACTATATAATTACGTTCTTAGCAGTAATGACTTGACAATTCACAAAAAGTATCCCAGGAAGTTTCATAACTTGCCGGGAAGATATCCTCAGTGAATTGTACGTGTTCTGTTTTGGGAATAGCCAGTTTTTATCCAGCTTCTTTTGCACTTCACACTTCAGACTCTTTTGGCCTAAGGGGTTTGGTCACGAAAAGCGGTTTAGTCACGTAGTAAAACCACCTCACTACAAGAGGTAGATAAACCACTAGCGGTAACATCAAACGCTTAACTTGTTGTTTTCTGCCAGATTTGATTCAAAGTGATTGTAATTCGCATCGGTCAAGGTAATTTTGCTTGCTTCACTGACCGACGTTGTTTTATTTAGACACGTACTGTGTATGCACATTAAAGTGCGACCCTTTCATCTTAGTTTATTTTTTGTTTCTGCTCTTGCTTCTAGCATTCACTTTCCACTTTAGTCAAAGAGTAAATGAGATAAAAATGAAAACATATTCAAAACAAGGGCAGCATCACAAAAATAAAGTTGTCGGTCGCGTTCAAAATATATGATAAACTGAGTCTAAAATTCCCATACAAACGAAAAACTTCAAGGCTTTACGAACATTTAAGAACTTTGATCAGGTTATATTTAGCAAGGAGACTGCTAAAATAGCAAGCAAACATCAAGGACGAAAACAACGGTGCTGCAGTCTATATCGAGAGCTAGCTCCTTGACCTTGCACGTCCTTTGTTATTTTTGTTCTTGTGACTAAATCATTGGCACGCTTCCATTGGTCACTTTAAAATGATAGGGATGTTACTGAACGTTGTGTGCGGCTAAGTCCCGCAAAGGCCGCAAAAAAGCCAACAGATCGGGAATTTCAAGTTTGCGTAAAAGTTCAGGGTCGAGGCACAAATTAAATCCATTTCATAAAAAAACTATGATGACAAAAAAGGCATCCACAGTTTGGCGAATTTTTGGTTAGAGAGTGAGAGAGGGCCTTAGAACTAACTCAAAAACTATAGAATGTCTATTATCCTGAGACAACGTCTCTACATTCCTGAAAGATCTTAAAATTCTCATCAATTTTGTTAAACCCCAAATCGTTTTTTTTATGACTACCATCCATTGTACTCACTAAACTTGCCAGTTTCCAAGCGTATTGCCAAACTAAGAAATTTACGATACTTTATGGTTTTGGAGGTTAGAGACTTCGCGAGAAGTTATTAGGAATATAAACCATGTTTAAAGGCTCTTGACACTTATTTACTTAGACATGCTTCCAACTTGCACGCTCACAGCAACTTTGTCTGCTGACCAATGAGGTACAACGACTTCCGGTTCCAGTTCGCTACAAAAACTAGACTTGGCAAAATGTCCCATCTTATTGTGGTATTTCAGACGACTTAACTTGCGGCTCGATCCAGACAACCGTGAATCATAGAACGTCAACCGCATTTCCATAGTAATTAATAGCTGCAAACAGAGCAGCCCTCATCTTCATATATTTCATTTATTAACTTCCAACAAGCGGCAAATTAATAACAGTCACGTACTATAACACTTCAACGGTTACAACCTAAAAACAACGTACTTTAAGCTGTCACTGTAAGAACACAGATGTTAAAAGTATTATAGGGTATCTTCCACAATATTTGGAAATTTAAGAAACCAGCGCAAAAAAAGTCAGGGTTAAAGAAACTAATTGAGTAACACTTGTCATGTTTATCTTTTCTTCCTGTTTTTCTTTCAAAATTTCTTTTCTTTTCCTTTTTTGAAAAGGGAAGATCAACTGTGGGAATCAAAGTTGTAAATTTTGATTTATCAGTTATTGCATCGCGCTATTTTAGTAGTTCGATCTGCTCCTTTATGAATTTTCATAAAATTTCAGTGCCAGAGATTTTAAAAATATATATTTGTTTACATTATACAATTTCCCATCATTGTACAAAATTTTTTGTTTTGTAAGATAACAGACAAAGAAACACATGCCAAATTTACAAGTGACGAGCACCTTTCCTATAAAGTATTACCAGATAATGCTGAAAGACATTTTCTCCAGCAAAGTTTAAAATATGCAAACTTTCATTCACATATACGAGGAGACTGTCTTATCGGTCGTGGAGTTATTTAAGAGCTTCAAACTGTTACCTCAATGTAATTTTAATAAACCTCAATAGTGCATACGTTATTGTACATTTGGAAAATTGGCTTCAGAAGGGGCTGGCGTGAGGACGTGCAGGAATAGTAGTTGCCTAAAGCCATATTTGTTTTCACTCTTTCAGGGAGATTTTATGGACGTTAAATAATTAATAGCAATGAACTGTAGTTTTGTTCCCTGTTTATAGTCTTTTGTTTGGAAAATTGATAAAAGGCTTCAAAATTGCATGCTTGGTACGACAGGCCCATGAATAATTGAAAGAAACCACAATTGGTTCCACATTTTGGAGACGTTTTATTGGACATTAAATAATTAAAGGGTACGCTAATTTTTAAGGGATGAAGAATTAATTGTTACTTACAATTATTAATGAGTGACAAGGCAAAATTTCTAATTTGTACTGAGGCAAATTACTAGTAGTATACTTGTTAACTACCCTTTCAACCGTCAAGGATATGGTTATCAACAGCTGAAGCATTTTCAACGTTCTTCCTATTGCTTTTTAAATGTTTTTCTTTACTACCATGTCTACGAAGGAGGCAGTAGGATGATATTCATAATTCTTACCACCGTTTTGCAGGTATTTGCTTTTATTAAATGACAGCTAACATAGCAAAAAAAGGGGACTGTGGTATGTTTTTCAGTATCATGTTTCTCCTTAAAAAAACGCTAGACTCATTAAACATAGAAGGAAAGTAAGAAGTTGAATCGCTAATTCTAGACGTCGTTGAGACAAAAGATCGTGAAGGCAAAGTCGGTATGTAAATATCGCAGTTGAAGCGAGAAAATTTACCCATAGGAATTATGATTCGCTTTGGAGAGAAAGTAAGGACGGAACAATTCGCTTTTCGCACGGTCTTGTTTGCTTTTTTTCTTTCTTTCTTTCCTTCATTTTATGTACTTATTTATCACTGATTTACAAATCGAATTCTTTCAACTTTTCTTGTAAGAAAAGGTCAAAGAATGTATTTTAGAACCAAGGCAAATGAGAAATTGAGGAGGAACTCGAGAAAATTGTTTATAATTCGTTTTAACGTGATAGCCAAAAATTCAGCCGATTTTTCTTATAAACACTGTAATATAAAGAGTTCAAAAACCAGCAGCTCAACAAAATAATATGATTCAGAGCTACAAGTGCAATCAACAACTTCGAAACGCACATCTGGATTTCACCGAAACGAAATGAAAGACAAAAAAACAATGACGTCAGCATGTTGCTTTGGGAATGTTGATTTTCAAAACACTCACTAACCGTAGAAAACTTCAACTTGTATCCTATGAAAATGAACGGCTCGATTTGCGACTTTGCTTAATTCATTTTTATATTTCGTATTCAAACTGGGATGGACTATGGACTGTTTTCACAAAGCAAGCCTTCTCGCAGTTCGCATTTACATGCGTGACCAGGTGCGCGGTCATGGAATCGAAACAGGAGAAAACAGAGGGATCCAGGAAGAGTACAGTGTGCTCGGGTTTAGTTACTGAAAACCGGGTCGAGCCCTCTAATACATTAAAAAAACCATTCAATTTGAACGCTATCCTTTTTCTCGGTTAATTCGTATACTTTTGAGCAAACAAAAATGCGAACAATAAAGTCCTTACCGTCGTTCTAATCAAACATGGCGGATCCAATATGGCCGTAATTTGAACATCGAGACGTGATTTCCTTGTCATTTGAAATTCTTCAGATTTTCAACAGAAGAGGTCGTTCTATCATCTTTCACATCAGGTGCGTGAGTTAAAGTCTTAAAAACATGATACCATGTCTACAAGTTGTAAAAATACCTTGGAGAAACTCAAGCAATGACACTGTTAGCGAACACAGAACAAACCACCTAATGATAAAACTTGTGTCACCAATTCACCTGTACGTAAACCGACTAGAAGGAGGTGGCACTGTAAATATCCAAATAAAACAAATCGGCGGGCGATCATGTACCTTCCAAGCTCCATCTAAGCGTCAGTTTAATCAGTAAATGAGTGTTCCGTGATATTAACACTTCTAATCAGTTTTTCCAAGCGTTGCCCAATCTTCGTAGTGAGGACGATGATGTGGTAAGGCCAAAGGGTTATGATACACCGCCTACATTTGATATTGCATAAATTACACACCCTTCGATAAAAAAATGCTCCTTTTACGCGTGTCACATCCAAAGTTTTATAAACAATCAGTTTATAATGCCAGCACAAAGGAAAAGATGGTAAATTCTTCGTTTTTTAGTGGAAGTGCTCTTAGCTGTTCCAGCTAGTTTGCAGGTATTCCATCACATTTTTCGGACAAAAAAAAATACAAATATAGCAAAACAGGATTAAAAAACCCAACTGACAGGAGGCAACCAGTTGGCGACTCACAAGCTCGACCGATGATCTGAGCACGGGGCGACCGAGAAACAAATCCAGCTAGTGGTCAGAGCGGGACCACTAACTGTGACCATCCGATTTTGAGTCCGACACACTGACCACTCAGCCACGTTACCCCCGCCCTCCGTGTGAGTCAGCATTTCATCGAAGAAAGAGCAGCTTTTACTGATGACGTTTGACGTTTGCATCACAATACCTACCCACACTTCAGGACTGGAGCAAGTGATGAGTATTGAACAAGACTGTACAATGGTTGGTGTGATTCTCTAGGTGATCACCTTTTGTCCTTCGTATGTTGGAATCATAAAATAAAAAGTGATAACAGAGAGACAAATTGTCACACCCGACAGGATGAGGAAAAACCGGTCAATAACAGACGCAGCAAAATGCCACTTGTCTTTGTTCCCTGCCACGTTCTCCTGCTCGACAACCCTTCCATAGATATCGCAAATTTTGTGGGTAGTTTCCTCCAGTCGTTTATCCAAAGGATTCCTCAATTCACAGCACTTTTTCACCTCCATCTGGCTGCCGCTCAACGAAGCATGTGCACCTCCTTTGCAGATTAATAATTTACTTAAAAACGTCGCACCCTTGGACTGTCGTTTCGATCTGATGGTTTCTCGATTTTCGGATGACTTGACGTTCAGTTTCATTCGCAACACCCTTGCCAGACAGCCAAATACAAAGAAATCAACCCAAGCGGGAATTTCTTCTTCCGGGTCACTGAAATGGTAAAATCGAAGGGTGACCGATGTTCCGATCAGGCAGACGGCTACTTCAAACAAAATGGCGATGAAGAATTTGCTTATTAAAGGTGTGACCTCTGATGTTTGAGGAATGTTCTCAGTGAAAATCAACATATAAACGGTAAGTCCAAGAAGTAACGTGATGACCAAAGCAATTCTCTCCCCAGAACCAGGCGGCAGAGAGAACGAAAACACTGACAGAATAGCCAGTAATATACAAGGTAGAATCAAGTTTTGAACGTAAAACAAAGGCCGACGACGAATGTGTACGGTAAATGTTATGTGGACGAAAGGATGCTGGCAACAACTGTACTTAACTGTATTTTTCGTGGCGTTTACGAAGACTAAGGTCCATTGGCCATTACGGGTGTACTTTTGCAGGTCAGCGGTGTTGTTCTTAAGCGCAAGATCCAAGTGTTGACTGTTGTAGGTCCAAGAGCCAAAAGTTAAAAAGCACGTTTGTTCATCAAAAGGGAAGAATGTAATGTCGATCTTGCAGATAGACTTGATTTCTGTTGGCGCGAACCACTCGTTTCGGCCATCGTGATGTAGGATTACCTTGGTGTCAAAGTTGTACATTTCTCTCCCGACGCCGTTTATGCTGAAATAACGCGAAACTGTTAGACAAAATGTAGCGAAGAGAATAAAGAGTAGTTTAAGTACAATATTCCGTTTGGCCACTACTAGCATTCATCAGCTATAAATCAAAATTAACACCAGAGCTGCCTTCTAACCATGCACCGCACCTCAAACCGGGCACCCGGTATTTCAAAGTTGCAAGACTCTGGGCATCCTGTGGATTTTCAAAGGAGCGAAGGCTTGAACAAACGCAAGTACTTATGAAATGTAAGATGTGAAACGCCATTTATAGTTTAAGGCTTGGACAGATGCCACAACATGGGCTGCAATATTGCTCACAAAATTGTTCACTCAAGAAAGCCATACGCTTTAACATGTCGTGCACACTACATGCAACATTTACTGAGCAGATGCGACAGAATTGTAAAAACCGCCAACATCTTTTTATCCCTTTAAGTCCCGACAGTGACCAACATCAATTTTCTCCTAACGATATCCATACAATATCAAGAGATTAGGTTATGAGAATTAATTAAATGATCACCAAAGAGAAAATGCTTTGATCTTTTCTCAAATTCTCTCAAATTATTCTTTAAAGAAATGTATAGAGATCAGTTTGGAGAATTTGCTTGTGGATATTGGGGCTTAAAGGGTTAACTGGTAATGAGATGGACCGCATCAAACCCAAACTTAGCCTGTCCAGTGCAGGACGCACGATTTGACAGTCATTTAACAGGTGTCACACGAAAACAATAGCACATAACAAAGGCTTTCCGAGAAAGTGAAAACAAATTCGCCATGTTAAAAAAGTTTATTCGGTCAAAACTAAGAACACTGTAAGTTCTAGCTCTTTAATGTAACGCTGGAGTATTTTGGAAACCGGACACTGCGTCTGTCTAGAAGTCGTTTCCATCTTTCCTTCGTTTGTCCTTGTGAAAAAACACTGCAAAAGGCAAATAAGCTGTTCAAGTTAACTTTGTTGTCATTGTCGAAGGATTCGCTCGTTAATTGTTTTTGGGAAAACCTTCCTTCCTTTCTGCCAGTTCATTCTCGTCTTCAATTGTGATCTGCATTAAAATTTTCAAACACTGACTAGAATTCTCTTCTTTGGTAAGGTTACGATTCGGTTTCTACAACCGCTTCGTTCTCATTAAAACAAAGCTAGGTTAAAATTTGAAAAGGCAAAGTCAACATCCCGGTCCTCAGGGTTTACATACATATTTCAAAGTTTATTCGGTGGAAACTAAGAGCACTGTAAGTATTCACTCGTTAATGTGACGCTAGAGTCTTTTGAAAACTGGACATTAGGGCCATTTATACGTGGAAAAATAAGACGCGTCTTACATAAGATGCGAACTGTACCATTTATACGAGCATGTCTTATCTAATAAGCCGCGTCTTAGCTAAGCCGCGTCTTAATTTACACGAAATGTGCCGTTTATACGGAAAGTTCGCGTCTTATTTACGACGCGTCTTATGTAAGACGCGTCTTATTTTTCCTCGTATAAATGGCCCTATTATTGTGTCTGGCTCGAACTCGCTTCTATCTTTCTTTCGTTGGTCTTTGAAAAAACACAGCAAATGGCAAAGAAGCTTGTCAAGATGATCGGGTGCAGGTATGTTTGCTATCATATTTGTTGAAGGAATTACTCATTTTCTCTTAGGCAAAACATCTCGAATCTCTGCCAGTCGATTTTCGTCTTCTTAACTGTGTACTACGATAAAATTTTCAAACACTGACTAGAATCCTCTTCGACGAGATTACGAGTTAGTTTCTTCATCGCCTTCGTTCACAAATAAACACAGTTTAAAATGTTGAAGGCCAAAGTCAACATCCAAGTCCTCAAGGTTGACAGGCGTCTTATAACTTTATTTAAACATTTTTCCGAGGTAAAGAGATTTAGACCTCCGAAATGAGCATTTTCTTTAAAAATTTTGGTCTGTATAGCAAGTTACGGACCGCAAATTGACCAATCGCATGCCGAAAACAGACTCAGCCATATAATAATGATATTTACGATATACAGTAGCACTGTTAGCTAGTTACACACTTTTTGACTTTTTTAAAATTGGAAGTTATTATTTCTCGATATAACTAGGTCATGCGAGCATTATTTGCTGAGTCGGCGTTTTAAGCTGACATAAGCTTTGAAATTAAGAGAGAATTAAAAATTCGATACTTAGGGAGACAGCGAGACTCTTTTTTAACTTGCTGTGATCCAAAACTTATCTTCTTATCAAATCCAAGACCAAGACGTGACGTTCACTGAGAAGACTTCGATTTCGGTTTTAACTCTCTCGTTGTGGACATGTACATGATTTTTATGATCCGCGTTACTTTTTCCGGCAATCTATTGTTAAAATTGTGTGGTATATATTGCTCAATTGCATCGTCTCGGCGAAGGCCCAAACGACACGTTTATTTAGAGTTCTCGTAAGAACTTTTGCGTACGTCCATGCATGTATGCATTTCACGCATTTTTTTTAATACATGAGAAAAGAAGAAAAAGAAAGAAAAACTACAAGATGGTAGCTTTGATGCACGGTCATGAAATAACGGACATGCCTAGTGTTAATCTAATTTTTTCTTGAACGATTTTTTTTAACAGTCCTTACAGCCGTAAGTAATTGCGTTGCAACATTCTAATCGCTCAACAGGCACTTGAAAGATAATGTTCAAAGCCTGTTTAAGTAAATTTCAACTGCCTATAGTTTTCAAGCAGCTGGAAACAATTGTGTTTCAAGATGTTATGTATTAATTCCCCAAGCATGCGCTCAGAAGACGGCGTTCGCAGAACGTAGATTCACGTGGCCTAGGTCAAAAGTTAGATAGAGTTGATCCCGGATAAATCAAACCAAGGTTTCTTCGCGAGATAAAGACTCTATTATAGGATAATGGTTGTTGGGCATCCATCTCTAAAATAAGGCCAGGTGGACAATTTTAGAATTAGAAAAAAACGAAATGAGTCAAGAAATAAACCAAAATTATCAATAATCGATGTTATAATGAGGAGAGGCACTTTGTCCTAAAGGACATCTCCAATACTGTGTTCCTTTGACCGTATTCCGAGCAAACGTTTTGTCACAAGTCTATTCTGACGGGAAATTTTGGACCACTTGAACGTTCCATGCATCTAGAGATGTTATTTCAAGTAGACGTTTAGATGCTGTAATGCAGTGAATGCCAAAACAAGTGATTTCTAGACTTAACTCCATAATTTCTTATTCCTTAATAGGTACAATTAATGGCTTTCTCTTCTCCACTTCCACTACAAAATGTTGCTAAGTTGACGGTACCAACATTGGAGTTGTAGGGGTAGGTATTGTTTTCATTGTCTGTTCTCTGAAGTAATTTCCTCAAATGGGATAAACCAAATTAAATCAAAAGTAGGAACGGAAAGAAAGTCGCGATGACCCAAAGCATGCATTTTTGCTGTTCACTTTGCACATCTGAAAATCCACTGTTATTTGTTTCGTTTGTTCCTAATTAGAGCTAACGAAAATAACAGCTGTCCAAATCGCTTAAAGGAGCGCCATTACTATTTTAACAATGAAGCAAAATGTCATGGACTAACTCCTTTAGAAAAAATCCAATTTGGCGACTATGTAATAAATATTTGTTTTTAAAAAAGTTATGGTATTAAATAAGGTGAGATAGGAATTCTTGGCCTGTTTTGTTTCAGGCCGAATTCGGGCACGACAGAAAAGAAATTGAATGGAAAAAAGGGAAATTAATGTTGACGAAAAAGCCCGGAATATAATCATCATTGCAACGTTTTTTACCAATATTTGAATTTTCAAAAGAGTGACTCAAATATATTTTTTTGCGCAAGTGAGTAGTCCAAAAACACTTACTTTCGCCAAAGCTGTCTGGTATGCACCTAGCATTCATTCAGTTCAATAATACACCTTTATTTATTACTTCAGTCGGTGAGAAAGTGTGCAAATAACACCCCTGTGGAATACCAACACCTTAAAACATGAATAAATGTGAATAAAACTGATCACTCGACAGTTCGCTTGTGTTGGCATTTAACACATATAGTCTTCTGCTGGTTTAGGCTAGATTATGTCCGCGATAATGAGTCATTTCAGTCAAGTTGCTTGGCTCAGTGTTGTGTTCGAAAGGCTCTATGGGACTGTCTTTGGGGATGAAATTTTCCCCAGTTTTCTGCACGACATTGCAAAAGCCAATGAAAAACCAGGGCAGTCCCATGGTGCAATTCGACCCAACATCGTCCCAGTCTTTCGCTCAACATCAAAAATTAACGGTTACTGAGCGCCCGCAGACCAAAACCGGGCGCAGCTTTGAGGAAGTTTTAGTTTATTGATTGTGACATAGGAAAACAACAGGTAAAAATGATCTAGTTGAAAGCATGATGGAGGGAAAAAAGATCCGTTCAGCTGGTTAAAGTTCATTGGTGAGCAATGCTTTTTAACTGGTTTTGCCCTGACAGATTTGAACAAAGCTTTTATGAGGGGTATTAGCCGGTATTGGTAGAAAATTACAGCTATTTAAGCTTTTGATAAACCTATTTGGATGCAAGCAGTCAGTACTAATTAAAAGAGTTCGTGATTTTGTCATACAAAAAAAATCTAAGCTAGGGAGAAAGGTAACACCTTTAATAGTTTCACTTATCCTGCAAAAGACTTATAATAAATAAAATATTGGAGCTATCGTCTGTGTCCAGAAATGGTCAAAAAGAGCGCAAATCTATCCGTGTATAAACTAGCAGTAATTCTCGCTACATAAATGTGAAATATGCAATGACGTCACCGCTTTACAGTCAGTGCACTGCATAGGGAAAATCCCAAAACCTTGATGAGTTTTACGGTAATTGAAGATAAACAACGGATGCAGCCCACGGCTAGGAATAACCAGTTGCAGCAGGAAAAGTCTCGATCATTTTCATTATTTCTATATTGTTTTGGCGCTTTAAGAGGAGACGGGCTGAAAACCAGTCGTACTGGTTTTCGTATAAATCGCGAAATATTACCGAAGCATAAAATTCTGGCTTGATATTCACATTTGTCGAATGTCTAGCTAGCCCTATTCTGTGTCTATAACCAAGGTTTTTTTTATCCTAAGAGACTCTGAAACTGAAAGGCGGATGGTAAAGATACCATATTACGAAAGTTTAAAAAGACATTTTAATGAGGAAACCTCGAATTTTTGCCACATTAGACTCATATTCCACACGTCGATGTCTTCTACCCTTTTTCAACGATGTAATTTTTTTATAACACTATCCAAAATCTGTGGTTAGTATTTTCAGAACATGTTTTAGTTCTCTAGTTCGAAAATACATTAATTATTTACTCTGCCGAAGAAAATTCACAAGCAATTGAGCTTTGACGAGTTTCATCGGAGGTTTTAGCTCCACTTCATTTGCTGAAACATAATAAACCTTGAAGATTAGAAGAAGAAAGGACGAGTTTACATGAAAGATTTTAAAGCCTGTCGATAGACTCACAATTTGTGGTCTTATCCAGTCTTAAAACACTCACCAGCGCTAAATGTTTTTTAAGACTTCACACACAGTCTTTCTCTTTTTTTATTAGAGCAAGTAAAAAATAACTTTGAGGAAATATGTACGCCTTTTATTTATTGGCTATGATAATCTCACGTTCTCCCAGTCGGTTATCTTAAATTGACTGAAACTATTAATAAAATATTTTGCCCATCTTGCTTATGAAGACGAAATGGAAACATTAATCGCTTTGCTAGCAGGACGTCTGAGAAATGATTATATTTGGTACTTTAGCATGAATGATCGAAATACACAACAGTTTTTTTTTGTGTTTCAAATAGACTAATATCAATCTGAAGGTAATGTGCTAAGTAATGTTTTGGGATTTGGTATAAACCATTAACGTTTGTATTTCTAAGAACGAGGTGGTATAACATCTTTTCAGGAGTACCTGAAATTGCTTGTCATGAATGTTCGATTAATTAAAGAAAATTATGCTTTAATTTGCTTCAATTTGTTTGTTTATATAAGCCAGGTTTCTTACGATGGAACCGTTTCTGTTCGAAGCCATATTTTGAAATAACAACGTAAAGATGCCCAGCCCACTTACTTAAGATTTTAATTGCCTTAGTTTCAGAAACGTTCACGCGCAACCTGGCCCGAATATGTATTGGGCTCAGTAGCATATAGGAGAGGGGAAGGGGGAGAGGAAATGAGCCCCACTCTAGGACTGTAGAGAAACGTAATGGCCGGGGGGAGCCCTGGCTGCTTAAAAAGGAATTTACCGCTGCATTGTTTTCTTTTCTTCTTATTTTTCAAAACCACGGAATCTTTGAAACCTCAAATACAAGAAGGTAGAAAGAAAAGTCTCCAAATCAGTAGGCATTATTTACAAATCAAGTTCCGCCTTAATATGACCTCCTTATGTACTCACTATAATTATAGTTCAGTTTGTCCTTATTTACATTACGGTGCGAGTGTTTGGGGCTCAACTTATCAGTCAAATCTAAACGTTTGATTACCCTTCAAAAACGTGTGATTAGAATAATTTCCAGGAGTTCTTTTGATGCACATGCCAATCCTGTTTTTTGTGACATGTTTTTATTTAACTGTGACGTACTGTAAATTTTTACTGCATTTTCAAGGGCCCAAAATATTTAATTTCCCTGGCTCTGGAATTCAGAATTCCTCTAGCAAATTGAACTAAAGTCATTTTTCTTGGTATAAGCATAGTTTACTTCTCTTAATGCTTACGTGTACTTTTTCGCTTCTTTCGCTTTTTTACTCGTATTTTTGCATTATTTTTACACGTTCAGCCTTATCTATTCTTATCCTATTTAATGATTGTTTTCTATGTTGTGAAGAAACTATATGTGTTTAGTTAAATTGTCTTGCTTATACAAGTATTTTATTTAAGTATTTAAGTCATATTTTAAAGGTGATCGCTTTCATAAGCCTTATTGGCTTCCATGGGCTCGCTTGCCTCATCTTTCTAAATTCTGTGTATATACTTAATGCAAATTTCAAAATGATAATGAAACAATAAAGCAAAACATAAACCACTTCATAAGCAATGTAAGACAACAAGAGCTGATTCGAATATTCATATGATAAATTTTATATTTCATGCTTGAAGTATGGGGTTGGAACTAAAAGTCTTACTTGTTATAAAGAAAAAAATCAGGCTTCCACACAATCTTAGGACTAAGGTTAATTCCACAGCACTGACGTTTGTCATAAACCACTTCATAAGTAATGCAAGACAACGAAGTTGATTGGAATACTCAAGTGATAAATATTGTATTTCATACTTGAAGAATGAGGTTCGATCTAAAAGTCTTACTTGTTATAAAGAAGAATATCAGGCTTCCAAACAATCTTAGGACTGACGTTGATGACAGTGATTCCCTCGAACTCATCAGGGTCCCACGATAGTCGGTTGTTGGTCCAAAACTATTGAACGACAAAAAGAGTACGTTTTAGAATACAATCATGCTATTCAACCTGATTTTTAAAAACTGCTGGGAAGGTAACATTCAGAGAAACCAAAACTGTAAAAATTCCAAACCTTATACATTCTAAGTCACTATATCTCACTGAAACATGAAATCAAGGACTTAGTCTCCTTGCTTCTCTCTGGATCAGATTTAGACAGAATTAATGTAAAAATACCTGCCGAACCCAAATATTACAGGTCATTATTTGGTCTTTGCTATCCTGCAACGAAAAAAAAACTATTAATTAGAAAAACAGGAATACAGTTAAACGTTTCGCATAAAGTATTTGATAGTCGCTTATTTGAAGTTCCTAACTTTAGAATGTGAAACACAAGCGCCCAGAAACATAAGATATGGGACAGTCAAGGCTGATAAATAATCATAACTGCATGCTTTTTTAACTGCACCAGAATTTCAATGAACATTAAGGGCCTGTTTACGTGGAGGTGAGGGACCCCAGGTAGGTGAGGTAACCCGCTTAGGTGGGGTAACCAGCCAGTCCACATAATCTCTCATTTTAATTTGATCACGATTACATGATAGGTGGGGTGACCCGCCACATGTTACCTCACCTATCTGGGGTCCCCCACCTCCATGTAAACAGGCCCTAAGAGAGAATTACATTTGTATGATCCTCTAACAATTAATAATTTGGAGATCCAGTTTAGGTCCCGTTTATTTGAGATAAGCTATGCCAATTAGCCAGGCGGTTCGGCTCATGCCATATTTCCTCATAACATCGCCTTGTTTATATGAGAAGGTAGGATGGCCCGCTCGCAGTTTTGCAGTTTGAGCATCTGAGATCTCGGCAGCGGGCCAGCCCACCCTCTTGCATAAACAGACTGAAAATTGTATGAGGAAAGAAGGTATGAGCCGAGACAACATGGTAAAGCGGGCCAGCACAGCTAGCCGAGCGCTCATATTAGACTTTCCGAAAAGTTCCCACACCTAGGGATTAAAGTTGAAATGAACTAGGCTAAAGAATCATATTAATTGATCCACAGTCGTTTGAATATCGGTACACTCGGGTAATTCCGAAGATTTCAGTAAATTTAATCAAATCTGTAGGGGTTATTAGGTAAAAACCCGTTACCACGTCATTAATAAGTCTTTTATTTTGGACAAGCTCACAGGGTTTGTTACCATGCTCTGTTTGTATTTAACCCAGGGCTACTCGAACGACTCGGTCCAGAACGTAAAATAAAAGTTTTACGAAAACAACAACACTGGAAATTAATGCAGGAATTCCAATCACGTTGATTGCTGAACACAAGTTTCAAGGTTCTGGTAATTTAACTGAAAAGTACTATATAAATCATAAAAAATCGCGTGACCAGCCAAATGCACATTCCAGATCGTGATCGTGTGGCTTATTATTCCTTAATGTTCTAAAACATCACGCGATTTTCCAAGTGTGAGGTCAAGATACCTGGATACTGGCCAAGTTCGTTTTTCGCGTTTTGATGGACGGAGAAGATTCAGTTGATAAGAACCTTATCTCTGCTACACAGTAGGAAAGTGGTGTACACAAACAAGGTTACGAAAAATAAATCTCTAGACAATACAAAGGCCTGCATATTTCCTGACTTATCTAGGGTCAGCTACGTAAATCGTAAAAAGAAAGAAAAAAACTGCAGGAGGAATCTTTGGACGGGTTACATTGAGATCACTCAAATAAAACTCCTTCAGGAAAACTGTTGCTACTTGTTCTTCATTATAATCTCCGAATTGAAACTTGGAATCTTTCTCAATAGTTTACCTTAGGGTACTTATACATTAAAGTGAAAGAGTTAACAGGGCACAAACTAAAGGACTTACAATTCACTATACTGAAAGTTAGAACCGCGCATTCGGCTTCACTGACTTACAACTTAGTAGGACGTCCTTGAATAAATAAGGATCACCCTGGACAACTGAGTGGATTTCTATTTATATATACACTGAGCGGTAATCGAATTAGAAAAATTACACCGGAAACTTGTGTTTGCGCTGCTTCCTTACAACAACATTGAATTAAATCGTGTACATCGCCAGTAAATCAGACATCACGTACTATTGTAAGCGTCTGCAAACAAGACAACGTTCCCATATTTTGAAGACATCTTCGTAACTTGTGTTACTGTTATTCAGACGGTTGAGGTATGCTTTTGAAATTCTTTGTTGATCCGATTTTTCCTGGGCTACATGTATACCGAGAGTACCTTTCTTTAGCATGTTGTGGCCATGGAGTAGTATTATATCACTTAACCGAAAATAATATAGTTAACAAACCCAAAATTGCCCAAAATTTTCCCCAATATACTCTTAACTAAGAAAGGCTCATACCGCATAGTTGCACCGCACTTCCGTTTTCACATGTGTTTTCAGGTTTGTTTTAAGACCCCACATACCCTATTTAAAGACCCCAGTATATCCTACACTCAACCACCATGGCCAACGCCGACAATGACTTTAATTAGCTTTATCGAGGCCACATTTTAAAAACCTTGTGCCTTAGGAAAGTCTCTCGAGTTTATAATTGACTGCACTAAACAGAAAAATAGGGCCTCCTATAACTGAATGATATGTCAAAATCCAAATTGACGTTGCCAAACCGTCACCCACTGGGCTGTACATCCTTTAAAAACTATTGGCATGGTTTGGGGTGTAGTGAGAACCGGGCCTTGGCGAGAAGAAAGTGGCCTTGCGTGTACTTTACCAATGCAACATTTATGTGTTTATATCATAATATTCCGATAAAATACACTTAAACAGCTTAAAACAGCGTTAAAAACCCAAGCTATTTTACATCACTTTTATGACTGAAAACTAAATTTACTTATATATCAGTCGCTGAGTCATTCTTGATTACATCCTCCACAAATGGAACCTACTGTGAAAGCCCTATGACTATGCGGTGTACCTCTCCACATCCGTAGGTCAAGATAACAAAAAAGATTTAGACGTAATGTCTGGAGAAATGATAACAACACTATAGTTGCGGCTTGTTCACCAAACCTAATCGACATCGCGTTTAAAGGATTCTTGTATTACATTGTCCGATGCTCGGATAACTCTAAACACCTTTGGCCTTGGGGTCTGCCGACTGTTTTGTGAGTTATCAAGAGATAAAAGAAGTATTCAAGCTGGTTTTAAGACAGTCTCATTTTGTGATACCAGGCCTCGTAAACTTGGAGTGAGGATAACTCAGGAAAGTCGTTAAATTGAAACAAACAACACACGAGTCTACGTTATTTTAGGCCTGATTTGTATGCCTTCGCTATGCGTTCTGCAAAACCCAAACACTATAAGATACATGAAATATCGCAGATAAAAAAAAACTAAAGTGAATGAAACGATATTTCAGTGAAGTGGGCACACTCAAAGTTTACTAAGTTACCAGCCCACTGAAAGCTGAAAACTACTGATTACTATCTGGCTCAGAGGTATGACGAGTAAAACAACAAAGAAAAATAATCATTCTAAATGTATCGTTGAGTTAAAAGTTGTTGCGAAGGGTGCGGCTGTTTAATCTTGGAGCTGTTTGACTCTACTGAACAACAGAAACATATGGTTCATTGGATTAGTGTGATTTCATTTGATCAGTCATTTATTAGGAAATGACCTGTGCGGGAGGGCGGGAAGCTAACAAAAGTATATTTTTTGCTCACTACAGAAGAAAGGCCAGCTGGCTCTAGGAAATATTTTGCCAGACATATCGTCTGAATTTACACACAAATGTGCACGCGACAACGTAATATGGGATATGATCAATACACTGTTCCTGACGACTGTAGCTGTCGCACCTACTTTTGTTGCTCTGCTTTAGCACTCGCAAACATACGTCCATGGCCTCCCGTGCCATTCTTTCAAATTTCTTTGATGAACATTGAACTCAAAACCACCCACAATACCTTTCGGGATTGTCGTGTGATCTTTTTTCGACAGCCTTCTTCGAAAGAAATCGAATGCATAAGCAGCCGACTCTCTTCACAGTATTCACAACTCATTAGCTATCAGCATCTAAATCTTAATTATCTATGAACTAGTTACACAAAAAGGGCGTAAAATTATACGACCAAAGATATACTGATTGAGACCTTTTGCTTAACGGATGAACCAATTATTTCAGTTGTATTGTCCATCTGGCTGAAAAGGTGCTCTTCAGGTGACGTTTTATACTAAAAGCTATTAAACAAACTCAGATAATAGTTGAAAATAGGTTTTTCCAAAATGTTTCGAACTTGTAGCGACAGAATTCTCTGCCCAAAGTGTGGCCTATAAAAGAAAGTAGTCCAGTGATACTGCTATTTATTGATATCAGACCCATAAGATACAATATAATTGGTTCCTAAGCTTTGAGAATATGACTCTTGGGAATTTAAGTCTGTTTCAGAGCAAAATCCTTGACGATTGATCAATCGAAAATTAAGTGCAGCTTGCTTATTACAGTAACAGCGTTGCCCTTTCCAGAGCTTATTTGATCTAATTGTTTTTAATTTACCCTACGCAAAAATGTTAATCTATTTTTACCAAAGTTCTATTTGACAAGATTGATTTTTAATGAAATTATACCGACACGAGCCCTTTAAGAGTTTTGTATCAAAACGCACTGGAAACCTGTGTGTTTATGGATGTTTACACGAGAACGATATCTATCCGTTAAACTTATCCCCAAAACGATACCGTTTACGAAAATATCCGTAACTGATCATCCTGCCACGTGAATAGAAAGCGTCAGAAATGCGTGAGTTTATTTGGGTTGCCAAACTGAGCAAGTCAGCCCCAAGTATGTATAGAAGTGTTTCAACTGAGAGCTTATTCAAGTACCTCAGAACACCTCTCTTCAACTAGATCTATTTTTTCAATGAGCTAGGGGATTTCTTTTTCCAGAACTAGAATCTCTCCTGTGTTTTACCACAATAAATTGTAGATAAATTTATTTCCTTTTGGTATTGTTTACCGATGTGCAGCTTGCTGAATTAGCTAATCACTAGGTTTTTTTAAATTATTATTTTCGAGAGAAAGAAATAAAGGCCTAACCGTCGCAGAAACAACAGGGATCGTTGTTTTTGTCCTCAAACAGCCCTACTACTGCGGCAGGGGGGCAGGATCAGCTGCCGATTAACCACGACCCATGCTAAGCGGGCTAACTCCATAAAAACTGAATTAATTGTACCGAGATTGAGTTAACAACCCAACTGTACTTACCAAATCAACAAGCAGACTGAATGCCATGTCAAAGGTTACGACCACAGCTTTGGAGCGGTTATTTGTTGGGAGTATTTGCCTTTTCATGTCGTAGTTTTTCATAAGATGATTAACGAGTCTTGATTCTGCATCGTCAGTGCGATTTTCCTGAGCAGGAATAGCGAAAAATAATAACAGATAGATGTCATTCTTTTGTAAAACAAGAGACCATCAACGATTTTCAGTAGCTCAAGTATTGTAAACCGCTGATCAACTGTAATCAAACATTCCAGCGATAACACCTCTGTGGAATTAGATGAACTAGATTAAATACATGAAAAGAAGAAAAACACTTGCCTGCTGATTCAAATGTCTTCCATGGCTAATTATTGGTAAAGAGCGCAGACTGTTTTTTGAATGCCTTTTAGCCATAAAATTCATGAGGGTCCTAATTTTTCGATTTCTGCAGGGTCTTTTTCACGAGCTGTAAAGAAAGTTCTGAAATAGCCGAAATACCGGTGTGATAAGACCGGAAAATATTGCCAGAGCCATCAGCCAAATCAGGGCAAAATGTAATAGTGATATGTTGACCCCGATTAACGTGTTTATATATCTAGGTGTTTTTTGGAGCTGTCCAGCTTGTTCTTTTATCTGCAACATACCAAAAATCGCCGATCCGCAAAATGGAACTCCGTTAATTGAATACTAAAAAAGATAATGTGTAACTGTCAAAATAACTGTCAATTTATTGAGTTCATCTCTCCCAATTGCTTAAATTGGAAAATTTACTGCGATGATCATTCTTCGCTTTCATCTACAACCGCAGTTCAAAAATGAATTATTTCATATATACTTCAAATCATTTCACTCCTCACGGGAGATATGAGCCGCACCCAATGTGTGGCTTCATAGCTCGGTTGGTAGAGCAACGCACCGGTAACGCGGAGGTCACGGGTTCGAATCCCGTTGAAGCCCTGATTTTTTCAGGCTTCTTCTTTCCAATTGCTTAAACTGGAAAATTTACCGCGATGATCATTCTTCACTTTCAAACACATTTAACATTGGGAATTGCGCATTGTCTGGTTGAGAGTGTCATTTTAGAAAAAAAGCGCAAATTTGGTTTCATTTTCCCCTGCTTTTTGGCTTTTCAAATTAATAAACAAAAAAACAAGCATATATGAAAGTCCGACAGCGATTCGATCGGATGACATTTGTGTCCCTCTTACGGAGTTGTCTAATTTAAAATTTGACTTTAATTTTACAACTTAAATGCAAAAAGACTTTTATGAAGTTATGTTTAATAAAATTTAGAAAAGGTCGATTATACCTTATGCGGGTGGTCGCAATGTTCTTTAAAAAAAAGAGCTCCTTAGTTACTTGCTTTATTGCGCAATTGCGCAAAATTGACGTATTTTGCCCATTTAACACTTTCTGTCGCTCTTTAAAGTAAAATATTCAAAACAAAAAAAGCTAATTAATAGAATTTTGGTGTTGTATTTTTGTTTGATAACCAAGCGAATTTACGAATTAAGAACAATCTTGTTTATTGGGCACCTATCGAGTGACATTGTAAACTGTCGGCCAAGGATCAATATCTTGACGATGTTCAGTGTGTTAACAACGCAAAAGTCGTTCCGGGTTCTCTTTTCGTGAGTAACCGAATTACCAAAAGGATCTCCTATAGCAAGCTAAAGTAAAGCGGAGACGTCATGATCAGCCAAGTCTGTAAGTAACACATTTGAATATTTAAGCGGGTTAGTAGCCTTACGACAATTTAATTTCAATGGTACCGACACTTTCTACTTTTAAGCCAACTCTTGGCACATTTAATACCTTCTTCTTGATTCAAATTATTACAAACAACTAGTTATGAAAAAATGATTCAACTTGGTGATATTTATGATCCAAAACAAATCACATTATAAATTTAAAAAAAAAAACTTAAAAATATCTAACTTTCGATCACCGTGGAGGGTTCTACAACTTGCTCTTGCGTAATGCGAGAACTAAACCAAAAGAAACTTTTAATTATCTGCTATTATCCCAAAATATTGGTTTACAATTGGTTTCGTTGATGCATTCGAGGGTTGCGCCGCTTACGAATTTACTTTTCACGTAATTTATCGGAAAATTTAGCTGATCGTGCTGAGCTGGTTTTTCTTGTGTAAGTTAATATAATTTGCAAAGATGGCAATATTCAGATGTTATTACCTTCAGTAATTTAGACTCTGGAGACACCGTGTGTAAAATCGATTTACCTCATATCTTAGTTTTTTGAGAGTGTCGTCAGAAAAAATCCAGAGATGTGAGAATTCGGACAGGTAAATATATGTTAATAGAAATTTAGTTACGTAGAGCAGATATGTTCTAATCGCCTACAAAAAGACTATTTAGGGGTAACAAGAAATTATTGGTGACGCAGTGGTTTACATTGTGGGACTCAAATATGTCCAGAAACATATATTTGAATAAAAGAAACAAGTCAGAATGCCCACTGGCCGGAAACAAACCAGTTGGCTTTTACAAGAATGTTTAAGGAGTTGAACGAAGGACTCCAGCTAGTGGCTGTGGAAATTGAACTCGGGGCTACCGAGTTGAAAGCAAGCGTTCTAAACCACTACAATGCCAGTCGCCCAGTTTCAATCTGACTGAACAAGTAATTCACCCTATATTAACAATTTTTGAAGGAGGCTGAGCATTACATGAATAATTACGCAGATCGAGGAGGGTGTTATCCACCGATTGTATATTGAGGCAATATACGATCATATCGATAGAATATTGCTTGTATCTTCTAAATTTCTTCAACGCCAGCTGGGGATGAAGAGTTGGCTGAGGAGCCGAGCGAAAACGGTGAAATAGTGATTACACTCAGTGTGATGAGATTACTCAACGAATATTTCCTTCATAATTTTCAAATGACAATTTATTTTTTATTTGAACCATTGGTTAGGGCACGAGCCGTGCTCGAGTGTGTTGATGTAATATATGGATTTAGCCAGGGCTAAAAGCGAAGCTCCTATTAACCTAAAGTTCTTAGTTCCCCTGATGTAAACAAGGCGATTGGTCCTGATGCAATTTCACCAAGAATTCTGAAGGAATGTGCTGCTGAGTTGGCACCATCAATATCACCGCTGTTCAATTTTTCATTGGATCATGGCAAGTTACCAAGTGTCTGGGAATCTGCCAATGTTGTTCCAATCCATAAATCTGGTGAACGAACTTTGGCTGAAAATTATAGACCAGTTTCTCTTACAAGTATTTTAGTGAAGTGTTTGGAGCGTATCATCCATAAACATATTATGAAGTTCTTAAGACATCATAGGCTGCTGAGTGAGAGCCAGCATGGTTTTAGAGAAGCTCGTTCATGTGTCACTCAACTTCTTCCGCTGCTACACTCATGGTACAGTTCTCTTGAGAAAGTTGACTCAGTCGACGTCATCTTTCTGGACTTTGCAAAAGCCTTTGACAAGGTTTCTCATCATCACTTGCTTTATAAGTTGCAGTGTTATGGCATTCGGGGTCATTTGTTTTCCTGGTTTCATGACTATCTGTCAGACCGTACACAAAGAGTCATTATTGGAGGTCATTCATCAGAATGGATGGAGGTGTCCTCTGGTGTTCCTCAAGGGAGTATATTAGGGCCACTTCTTTTCCTGCCGTATATAAATGACTTCCCCCTTAGTGTAAGCTGTAGCACAGAGCTTTTTGCTGATGACAGTGTACTCTATCGTAAGATCGCATCTGTAGATGATTGTGTCGAGTTTCAAGATGACCTCTTGTCTGCCGCCTCCTGGTGTGACTTGTGGAAGGTGACGCTGAAGTCGGAAAAGTGTTAGGCTCTACATGTTACCAAGTCCAATTGTCCTTTAGTTCATCAGTATGTGATAAATGAGAATAATCTGTCGGCTGTTGATAAACATAAGCACTTGGGCATTTGGATTGAATCTTCTTTAAGGTGGGACGCTCATATCAATTACATTGTTAGTAAGGCAAATCGAGTATTGGGTCTAATAAGGAGAACGTTTGGGTCTAAAGATCCTGTGCCAGTCAAAACAGCTTTTATCGCTTTAGTTCGTCCTATTCTAAAATATGCCTGCCCAGTGTGGAATCCATATTTGGTTAAACACATACACAGTATTGAATCCATTCAGCGTCGTGCTACTCGATTGATATGTGGATCTCATAATTCTTACACTGAAAGGCTAACTGAACTAAACTGGTCAACATTGGAGCTTAGAAGAAAATACATTTGCCTGGTTCAACTTTACAAGATAATTCATGGCTATTCTGGTATTGATTATACCACATATGTGGATCTGACTGGCCCGACAAGAACTAGAAGAAACCATGACTTTAAAATCAGGCCTAGAGCAGCAAGGACAAACTATTTTAAATCTTCATTTTTCAATCGTTACGTTAATGACTGGAACTCTTTACCAAACTCCGTTATGCCTGCTTCCAGTTTGAACTCTTTTAAAACTTTATTACTTAATTATCTTTGTAAATAGTCATATGTTTCCCATTTCCTACTGAATTGCTCAGTCGGTAGAGCGTGTTGACTGCAGAGCGGGAGGTCGCGGGTTCGATTCCTGGGGCCGGACCAATACTCAGGGTCTTAAAATAACCGAGAAATGAAGGTACTCCATTTGCAATGCAACAGGCTAGACCTTCGCGTGGCTCGGATGACCACGTAAAATGGTGGTCCCGTCTCCAGTTGGAGACGTAAAATATAGTGTCCCCAATTAGTACTTTCGTGCTAAATACATTGACAATCAAATAAAAAGTGCAAGTGCAAAGTGCAATTTGGATTTTCTTTTTTATTTAATATCTAAGTAGTTTATAGTATAGTTATGTATTAGTTTTCTATTCTTAATTGTTATATCTTTTCGTTTTGGAGGGCAGTTTTTATATGGGAATTCAGTTTCCCCCTATTGCTTTCCTTTACCTATTGTACTTTTATATATGTATATATATTTTTATTTTGTACTTTGGTAAAAAGAATTATTAAACTTAAACATTAAACTTAAACATGTGGCTTTCCATGATCGCCCCAGTTAGGAAATCTGTCAATCATTCGAGAACTGTAGTGAGCATGCGCGAAACGGGCTGGGAACAACAACAAGAAGTTCGTCTTCGCAGCCGATTCGACAGTGTGAAATGAGTTCGCTTTTGGTCCCGTTGGTCATTGCTTTCTTTGC